TTCAATTCTCTTAGGCATATCTTTCCGATATTTTATTAATATCAATAAAATCGAGACAATTATTTTTGCTGATTTTCCATTCTCCCGAGATTAAATTCGCTCGGAAAAATGATGATAAAATTTTAATTAACTAATAGTAATTATTATTAATTTTTTAAAGTTTTGAACGGGATGATTGGCAATTATTTAATCAAAAGAGTTTAATATCAATCGTTTAATTTCAAATTACAAATTAAATAATTGAACGTAATGACTCGAAGCGGATTTCGTTTTTGTTTTTTGAGGCCTTCTACAGTCTTTACACAAATCTGTAGCCTTTACTTATAATCTACAGCCTTCTAATATCCTTAGTCTTAATCGACAGCCTTACTTATACGTATAGCCTTCTAAGAGCCATACTTCTAATCTATAGTCCGTATACAAGTAAGGCTTTACTGTAAATTAATTATAAATAAATAAATAAAATTGAAATTTCATTCAGTTCTAATTAAGATAAAAGACCGAAACTTTGAGGACGTACAGCACCTAACCCCGCGACAAAGTTTTAGAATCTCGATAAACACTACTTAAATGTGCTTTTAAATGCCCTTTAGTGACGTCTACGGTGGGCTGGACCACTCCCATTCTCGAAAAACGTGACTAATAAATTTAAAATTATTAATTTAATTAATTACAATTGAAATTTGTTTAGTTTCGTTTGTTAAAAATTCAGTCGCACACTTCGCAGCCGTATTATGTACAATTCTGCGCACGTACTGTTACAAAATTACATTCTTTTTTTCACTTCGGTTATTGTCTGACAAAAATCTAGCCTCGTGAATTTATCACTTTTCCAGTTTCCTATTACAGAACATTGCAGTCACCATCATTCATTTCACTTTCCCGGCTGTTATACGTAACGGAGGGAGAGTATGGCGATCGGTCAAAAAAAATTAACCCCTCCAAGATCTTTTACGTTTTTGGACTCAGGGGACCTCGAAACATGAAAAAAAATCGGTTTTCCCCCTGTATGTGTAGATGGTAGTGTGCGGGGCAGACACTAACATCGTAAACAGAATTTTGGTAGTAAAAGATCGAGAGGGTAGGAAGATAGAAGGGGGAGTCGCGCGTAGTAAAACGAGTGGAGAGGGACGGAGCATTTACAGTTTTTTTAGAGAACCCATCCATACCCTGAAAATTCGGCTGTTTTCTCATTTTATAATAATCAAAAATATAAAATATCATAACAGCCACATACGCAGTTTTAAATGTTACCGGAAAGTTAAGCAACTCGTTGCTGGATTTTTTACTTATACATTCGGGGAGTCCTCAGAGGACAGAAGGAATAAATCACATTTATATGAAAAAATTGATCATAGATAATTTACAAATAAACCAGGATCAATTTTTTAGGAAGTATTTAGGAAGAAAGATACAAGTTTTTACAGAATTAGGAATGAAAAATAAAAGAAAAAATCCCGTAATCCAGTAGTCAAAAGTATCTGTGAGAGAATTAAAAGAGTCTAAACGCCAAAAAATTTGGGAACGACATCAGAGAATTGTAAAAACGTTAAGAAGATGGAATGAGACGTGGAGCCACAGCTGAGGGCAGTGGCGCCTTATCCCATGGGCAAAAAAGGATTGTCTGGGCCTCCACCAAAAAGAGGCCACAACCCAATCTTTTATAAACTCATTTCTGTAGTAAGAATATCGAAATTTAAATTTGGCACCATATCCGAGGACCCAAGATTGTCGGTTTGGCGCAAGCCTCTCCATCCATATACGTTAATTAATGGCGGCCCCAATGCAACTAGAACAGTTTTTAGTGTTTATAGATATCGCGAAAGCATATGATAGGGGTACAGAAGACGGAAAAAATGCCGACGAAACATATATAAAAAAAGTAAGGAGATATCTAGGAAAAACTTCAAGTCGAAATTATACCAAAGACGAAAGCCAAATCATTTTCTTTCCAGTATATCAGCAATGCTTTATGGATGGATACTACTACTTAAACCAGTGTTTTTCAACCTTTTTCATTGAGTGGCACCCCTGATTGAAAAATAAAAAATCGTGACACCCTTGACCAGCGGCGGATCTGAATAAGGGGGCTAATGGGCCAGATAAACTTTTTGCGAAAACGAATATTACGCGCAACGCTGGGGTGGGGTCCGGGGAGGGAGTCCCTCCCCGGGAAGAAAACTTTTAAAAATTGACAATTTGAAGTAGCATTTTAATGCAAAAAAACAGCGTTTCTACGTGTTTAAAATCAAAATTTAAGTCTACTGAATTTTGTCGAAATACCTACATGTAAAATAATAGTCTCTCTATTGTTTTTTAAATTTAGTTTTATTATCAAATATATCATCATTTTATATTAATATTTTATTGATAAACAATTTTTGTTAAGTTTTTTTATACTATTTTGATGCATATATAAAATAATTATTTCATTACTTTTTTCTTATCTTTTTCATATCAATTTAAAAAAATTAAATTAAAAAAATGATAAGAAATTGCTTATTTGTCATCATTGCTTTTGAATACTATGAAAGTACTGTAATATGCATCTACATTGTGCACGCTTTTCAAAGTGCAATGCAACGCTTTTTAAAGTATATACAAGACACAAGTGTCCATGTCGTTCTTCTCTGCTGGTTGGCCTGGTACTGGGACTGGGAATGTGAAGGCCAAGTAACGTGGTTTGGGCGAACTCGTGCGTACACGTAGATACATTAACACGCGATTAGTCGTCGTTTCTTTGCTTACTAGATATCTCGTAGCAAAGTAGAACTGACAATGAGTTATCTTGAACTACACTTAAGTAAATTTCCAAAAAAAAAAATGACTAAAGGCCCTAAACTTTGCGACACCCCAATCGTGGCGCCGTGGCACTCTAAGGTGCCGCGGCACCCCGGTTGAAAAACACTGACTTAACCCCTTAAGTCATTTTTAACTGACCGATTCACCGGTTCATCGGTAATGCAATCTCTATCGCGTAATAATTCAGAAACTATCTAACAATAGCTAATATAGAATTCATAATCACTTACCAAAAAACTCCAGCAACGAGTTGCGCCACTTTCCCGGCAAAAACATTTAAAACCGTATACGGCGCCATCTGTTGTTATATTTTATTTAAAAACTTTTAATATTATTATAATAAAATGGCAAAAAGCTTAATTTTGAGGGTAGGAACGAGTTTTATAATAAAAAAAAACTGTAAATGCTAATAAACTTCTATTTTATTTGCAAAAATGGAAACTTGGATTCGATTTTTCTACTCTTACATTATGTATGCAAAACCCGTCTAGAATGGAATGCAGTGTTGTCGACCAAAACTTTCCGTTTTATAAAAGGGCCGTGTTCTTACCATTTATAAAACGGAAACTTAATGCAGAAAAATGCTTCTCTTTCAATATAAATGTCTCATTTCAAAGACATTGAAAACAGTGTAACCTATCTGTGGTGCGGAGGAAAAAATCTGCATAAAACCATGGAATGTTTTTATGGTTTAGATTTTAGCTGCTGTTACGCGAAAAAATTTCGTTTTTTACAGTTAGTTTACGCAATAGGTACCCATAGTTTCTGGTTCGTAATAGTATTTTACGCATAGAATCGTTCCGTTTAGGGACGTTTATTTTTAGTTTGATCCTGTGGACACTAGGAGGACCCTTTTCCCATGCTCTCTGTGGGTTCGGCCAGGACCACAACGATGTCCGGGGATTTTTTTACTCTTTCCGCCCTGTGGATACTAAGAGAACCTCTTTTAGCAAGCCCATTATGGGTTCGGCCAGGTGGTGAGGGACGGGGCCCGACATATCCGGACGGACCACACCCCCCCGAAAAATTTCTGGGATTTTTGGATCCGTCCGGATTCCATCCCGGGTCCTCCAGAGCGGTAGGCTGTCACCTTGCCTGCTCGGCCATCCCTCGCTACCTGGACGTTTAGAAACGGATCGCTACATTATAGCGCTTCGTCAGCTGTGTTCAGCAGACTCAACAGCTCTGGGTTGAGTATTTTTCTGCTGAACGCCCTGTACGGTAGCGCTGTTTTGGAACACGTTTGATGTTTTAACGTCACATTTAGTAGCGTCTTTCATTTAGCTACCTATCGCTAGCTGCTTCCTGTTCCAACGTATCGTTCAGATGTAACTACGTAACAGCTACCGATTAAAATACCTTTGCTACAACTGTTGACTCTGCTGAATGCAGTCATTTAGAAACTCTGCTGTGTAGCTGCATAAACAAACGCGACCGTAGCGTAGATGTGACTTAAATCCTGCTGAAGAGGACTGAATCCATGGTTGACCCATCCTGCAAGGTGTGTTGAATGATTACATCAGCCGCCTGAATATTTGCAAAAGGGCAACAATCACATCGAACAGCAATTTTTCCTGTAAGGAACGCTTTACTATGATATCCTGCCTGGTAATATACTCGTTTCCTAAATAGGAATACATGTTTACGTATATTTCCTGCTTCCACGCGTATTTCCTAAACTGTATCCTATTCTGATAAGTATTTCATCATAAACATTTGGAAAATATACTCGTTTATTGAAATCCAATAAGTAGCTACATGGGCGTGTGCGTTAAAGTTTCATGGTGCCCAGGCAAATTCGAATTAGGGGAACCATGTAGTGTTGACTTCAGAAATCATTCTTCTAGGAAATTTTTTCTTATAAAAGATTGGCTTGGGGTCACCTGTCGATGGGGCCGCAGGCAATTGCCCATTTTGCCCAAAACATAATGCCCACCACTGAGCCACACACTGTACAGTGGACAACATTAAGTCTAAATTTGGCAAAAATCTTTGAAGCTACATAATTTAAATACTTGTAAAATGTGTTTATTAAGCCAATAATATATTTAAATTATAATTTAAATTTATATTTTTTAAATTAAGTTAAAACACAAAAATTTTATGAATTTAGAGTGTAAAATTTAATCTAGCTACTAAATAAAACAAAAACAAAAAGTTTATGCAGTTTATATAAGAATAAGAAGCTAAAACAACTGTTACAATGAAGATTGAATTATTTTATTGCACATATACAATCAATTTTCAGTCTTTACACTAATGCTTCTGTACACAACTCTCTGCCAAGAATTAAAAAAAAAATCCCTATTTTATTCTTGGAATGATCGCTTGCTTCTCTATCATACAACAAAGGATATGTGGTCGAGAAACTTGGCTATACCAGAAAAATACAATATACATCGAACATTTTTATAATATATTTTTGAAAGTTCTGATACTGTAGAATACTGATTTGAACAGAATATATCTTTCAATAATGGCAGTGAAATACACCATATTTATAGCTACATGTATACATCACATTTATTGTACAAAGTATTTTTTTCCAAACAGCAAAAAAGTGTATAAAATTAGAAAAAGATTTGCACAGTATCAACTTTGAATGATATTATCATGCATTAAAATATATTGTTTCTGGTAAAGATAAATATATAAATACAATATTAAATCAAATATTGGTTAGAATAGAATATTTACTTTATAACTTATGAAGAATTTTACCTTAAAGCTTGCAGTTTTTTTAAAGTATCTACATTTTAATTTCAAAAACCAATTTTAAGAGACACGAAACAATACTTTGGATTTAACATTTTCTTCTTATTCGGTATCACCACGTTGTTTCTTCTGTTATCACATAGGATCTTGGCATTTGTAAGTTTAACAAATTTTTAACGCAGTGTATTGTATCAACTATGACTGATAAATTCAAATATTTACAAGCATTTCATTAATCAACTTAACATTTCATGTTACATTAAATTTTACAACTGTTTACAGGTGAATTTTTATTCACTTTTTTTTTGTGCAGCTAACAAAAATGATTTCATGAATTGATGATAAAAAAATGAACAATTTATCAATAATGGAATATACCAGCCGTGAATCTCTCTTCTAATTGGGTCTGGTGGGTACCTGCGGTCTATCAGGAATACGTGGAGGAGGAAGATTAGGAACAGGACGCCTACAGAAGGAAAGGCAAAAGGTACTTCTGTTCACTACAGTAATCATGCTTTAATTTATCTAATGCTTTTAAATTGATTTTTTTTTATAATTAAAATTATCTAATGGTAGAATCATGCTATCTAGTACAATAATAATAATATACTTAAAGCATTCTAGCGATGCAATCCGAAAACTTCACTTCCAATTGTACATGCACTATTATCTATATCACATTCTGCTTCTAGAAATAAAATTCCTAGTGGAGACAATAAAAAATAGTAGTAGTATTTGCTAATCATCATCAAACGACATCAAATAAACCAAAAATAAAAGCACCACTACAGTCCCAATGGCAAAAAAAACATGCATTTAAAGGAAATAAATATGCTCCAAAGCACACTGAGTGAGAGAGAGATACAGAGAAATAGAGGGGGAAAGAACACAAATTTCTGCAAGTAGCAGAAAGTAACAGCTGCTCTCAATATTTAACTTTATACTTTATACATAATTACTATACAGTGATCTTTCGTCCACTAAATACAATAATTTAAATCCTTTTTAAAGACCTAACTAAATGTTTCGTAGGTCGCATTATATATCATTTTTATGGTATGTATTATATATATATATATTTATTTATATATAATATACAACATCAGCTATTTCTATAACATCATATTTGAATCATTTATATATAAGTTTATATATATATCATATATATGTTTTGTGATAACAGACTATAAACTAGAACCAACTTAAGGAATTATGTGAGAATAACAAACACCAATTTTGTGATGTATATAACAATGATGGCATAAGCCAACTGCAATTATGAATAACATAAGGTTAGCCAGAGAGGAAATCAGACATCCAAAATCCCATTGATTACATAGATGGTTTATGTTCGAGGTGGTATAGAAGGAGCATTTCCACTGGGACTGCGACTGTGGAAGGTAGACAGTTAATGTTTGTTAGTAAGTGATAGGGAAAATAAGAAAAAAAGGACCTAGATTTTTAAAAAAATGTGAATTTAATGATATAGTACACCATTTATATGTTAATATAAAGTTCTATGAATATTAAAATTTAATTTAAAAATAAATAGATAACAATGATTTCAATAAAAATTTTTTGATGTTAATTAAATTAAATTGTATTAATTTAAAAAAACCTGGATGGCAAATTTTAATCAAAATCACAAAGAAGATACAAAAAGTCTTTGTTAAAACTTTTTTAAAGTTTAACCATCACTTATAAAGACTTTAGCATGTTGAGGTGGGAACAAGCATAAAATAAAAGGCTGACCTCACCAGTTAAAACTATTTCCTGTGATGTGAAATGGATATTTTAATGAAGACATTTTGTCTCTCTGATTTTGATTAAATTGTATTAACTAGTCTAGAATCAAAGTATTATTCAATAATATATAATTTAAATTTAATAAATTATATACTCAACCACAATTAAAATTTGTTCTTTCATTTATAGTTGATTATAAAGGAATGTACTGCACAGTAAACTCTTGATTTAATAGACCAATTGGAAGAAGGGTGTCTGCTATTGCCAAAACTCCATTAAATCGAGTATGTTTTAAAAATATAACTTTATCAATAATGAAAGTAAAATGTGCTAGTTACGTATAAATATGAATAAAATAATAATATGATGCACACCGAGTAATTTGTACTCATTAACTCATTGTATCAACCTTTCATCATGCTCTATTTGAAAAAAAAAAAATTTGTAATTTTTCTTAAAGGACAAATTTTTTGCCTGTTAGAACCAAAATCTATTAAATTGAGGGTTTACTGTATTAAAGTTTTATAAAAAAAATAAGATGCAATTATTATAGAATTACAGTAAAAATTATACTTAAGACATCTTAATTTGAAATCTCATTAAAAACATTTGCTAATTGTTTAATATTTAAAAAAATTATATTAAATAAATGCATTTAAGACTGGAAAAAAATCTCTTAAGTTAGCTATACAATAAAAGTATTTGTTGAAAGAAATAAAAGCAGAAAATTTTTCCATTTTATTTCTTTCAACAAGTACAATGCTGATATGACTAATCCAAGTTGATATCAAGTGTTGTATGTTACACTTTTTATCTCTGTCTGATGATTACAAAACAAAACATTAGGAATTGAAATGTCTTAAAGATAATATAATTATTTACACCCCTTTTTCTCATAAAATGGATTATAAAAAAATTCAACTGCACTTGTAACAATCTTGCACTCCCTGCAGAAAACTTATATGGGAAATGATGTATGTTTAAAAAGTATTTTAAAGTGCATGAATGATTTCTATAAAATTAATTCCAGTTTTTTTTCCAAATTCTAATGATTAAAAAATTAAGTCAATTTTATTGGGATAACAATTGTGTGTGCATGCACATGTATATTCATGCACAATTTTTAAAAAATATAATTTTAAGTTATAAAGTCTAAACAAATTCAAATCATAAGAAGGGTCATTATTCAGATGTAAATCATAACATTAAATTCTTAAAGATAATAAAAAATTACTTATTGTCATCTAAATATTGAAACTTACAGTTAGTTAAATACATTTCAATATTTAAGTAATGAACTTAGCTATGTCTCTCTGTCTTCTGAATTATTTCTGGTAGAATCTATTATAAAATTTTTGTCATGTATGAAGCCATGTAGGATATTAACTTATAGTGTTCCTATGAAACTTTCTGTAAATTAAAATGGCATAAAGCAAGAAGCAATTAACATTCATTTATACAGGGAAAAATTTTTGAGCATTCCTATACCCAAAATTAACCCACCAAATCATACCAAATTTGTCCTAAGACCTTAGGACACATTTTGATGATGAATGCACAAAATAAATTAAGATAAAGCACAGATGCTCACAGAGACAGTTTAAACCTGTGACAACTTGATACCTAATAGCCAAGTGTAGCACCCCAGAAAAAGAGCTTGAAACACCTATTGCTGTTTGGGATGTACTGTATATTGCTTCTAAAACAACTTGCTATAAAACAAATGCTAAATGCTATCTTTGTTTTTCACCTTTTTCTGTAAAAGCAAAAACAAAAGGTACAAATATAAGTCTTTTGTAAAAGTGAAGTGGCATAAAGTGATCTTTCATAAATCAAAGGAATGCATATAGAGTATATATGGAGAAAACATCTAAATGCTTTTGAATCATTCAACATATCAGAAATTCTAGCAAAACAAAGCAAGGCATGCAAGCAAAAAACAAAACTGTAACAGTTGAATTACATATGACTTAAAAAACTTTAAAATATATATAAACAAGTAAAATGGCAAAACTGTATTTGGGACAAGACTATGTATCGGAGACAGAATCACTTTGATGCTGAAGGCAGGTCTCGTTCTCATTCTCCTATCTTCTTTGATATCGCTGCTTTTGGGCGCAATCATTCAAACTTCGCCAGCCACGACCACGAGATCGTCCATGATGCATCTTCAATGAAATTAACCTATCTAATTTCAAAATTTCTCTCCGTTGCATGTCGGCCTGGGTTGAATTTTTGTCGATGTGTAACGAAAAGTTCCCATTTTTGAAAAAAATAATCGTGGCTATTGTAGCATCCAAAAACAATATACAGTTTAACCCAATTATAGTGTCATTGAATGTAACGACAACCCTAATATAATGTCAAATTTTTATCAGTCCCACAATTTTACTATGCTAGATGATGTTAAAAAAACCCCACTTGTAACGACATAAAACAGTTTTAACGTCATATTTGAAGCACTCCCAAATTTACAAAATTAGATTACAAATTTTATTTAACATAGAAGAAACTACACGTTTGGTCCTAAGGTCAGAGTTCATTTCTTATAATGACTGTGGGTGGTACTCTCATCTACCCGACTTCGTTGGGGCGAGGTGGCTGTTTTGCCTGTTTGTAGAAGAGGGTCGCCATTTTGTATTTTATTCTGACTTGATTCTCGGTCCCCCGACTACCTACGAGTCTGGATTATTTTATGCGCAAATGATTTGGGCACCTAATACGCTGTGCCCAAATATCAACTCTTGACATGCACTCCTTCATACCTCTATGCTGGTAAGAACATTGGGCAGTACAATTTTATAAACAAGACATAGTCTTGTCAATTATGTAATGGTTAGGATATTAATTAAGACAATCTAAATTAAAACTATGTACTGTATGTATCTACATCTTTACTTTCTGTAGTATTATACTGCCATTAAAATATTACTTTTGAAATTCTTATACTTTTACAATTATTAATTAGTATTATTATGTTGTTACTTTCTGCAAATTTATATTATATTTTAACATGAAAATGATTAAATTATCATCAATATTTATATAAATGAAATATGTTGAGTAATCATCATTAATTAGTAATATAGTCACAAGTATTGATTCTTTTGCTATACAGAGAAAAATATTTACCTTTCTTCTATTTGTTTCCTTGTAATAAACAATTTTAAATTATTTGTTATTTTTTTAAATTCACATAAACAAATTCATTTAATATCATTAAAATATTTGATGATTATTTAAATTTATCATTTTCAATATTCTTAGAATAATCATTTCAAAATTCAAAATTTGGAAATCACTGTTCAACAATAAGAAAAAAATAATCAATATTACTAATAAAATATTATGATTGAATCAGCATATGCACAATTGAAATTGATAAATAACTTATAGCAAGTCTCATTTTACTTTTCTGGGTGTTATAAAATAACATGAAGAAGTATTGTAATTGTGTCAAATCAAGGTTTTGATATCCCCTAAACCTAAAAAGTAAAAAAATTCTGGGGATATGGATGTGTCAGCATCTATTTCATTTAATATCTCAGGATTAAGAAACTTTCTCAATCTTATGCCAGCCTTGTTTCTTAAACTTTATTAAGAAACAAAATTTGCATGGTAATTTATATATAAGGAGAAGTGATGCTATTAAATTTTGGAGTGGGGAAATAGAGGATGATGATGTAATTTATATATAAGGAGAAGTGATGCTATTAAATTTTGGAGTGGGGAAATAGAGGGATGATGATGTAGAATATCTCAAGTGAGAGGGTCAGACTTAATAAAAATTTTACTCATTATTGGCATTTACAATATTTTAAAAACTCATCTCTACCCTCAAAATTAAGCCTGTTTTGCCTTTTTATAATAAATTAATAATACAGGGTGTCCCACTTGGGAGTACAACTTTAAAAACGCGAATTACTCGTGAACCTGTGCATGTATCATCATGCAACAAGGTTCAAAATATTCCTTATTTGATGATTGTTCTCGGATCATTGGTCTGATTTTCTTTGACGAGACTATGAACACCGACCAATACCTGACCACATTTGACGAATTTGTGAAACAACTGGATGACTACAAACTTCAAGAAGGTTACTTCCAACGAGACGGAGCAACATACCTCTCATGCCAGTATGGATCGTTTTTGGAGACAGGGTGATCTCGAAAGGCTTGTGGCCACCTCAATCACCCGATTTAACTCCCCAGATTTTTTTCTATGGGGATATTTAAAGGGCAAGGTGTATGCAAGCAAACCCAGGACCATCGAACAACTGAAAACAAACATCAAGCGTTAAATTGCTGCCATCGACAGCAACATGTTGCAGAGGACATTCTCAAATATGGAGCGTAATGTTCCCTTGTGCACAGATGTTAGGGGAGGACATTTTCAGCACCTATTGTAATGTGGACTTGTTTTCCACTAAATACAGGTATGTTCAGTTCTTACAGCTCACCTTTACATTCATGCATTCGCGAGTAATTCACATTTTTAAAGTTGTACTCCCGAGTGGGACACCCGATATAAAAGTTATTTTTTAATAAAATCTCATAACAGATGGTGCTACACACACATTTTAACTTTCAGCTAGTGTTTTAGTATTTTAAACTTTTATAACTAAATATTTTTTAAATGGAGATTTTGATCATATGACCCTTTCAAGCTTTTATTACTTAAAATTTATACACTAGTATAAATAAAAATTATCAGACTTCTTAATGATCCTCTTAACCTCCTGTTTGCTGGGAAAGAGCCTTTGCTAGTTTTTAAACTAATTACAGTAGAGCATCGATTTTCCGAATCAATTGGGGACTGGGGTTGTCCGGATAACTGATTTAGGTACGAAAAAATAGTTTAATGTATCCGATGTCAAAATTTTTTTCTGTTGCGTGTCGCTTCGCGTTGAATTTTTGTCGATGTTAAGCCTAACAAAGACTATTGTATTGTTAAAAATTATTTTTTTATTTTGTACAAAATAAATATATTGAAAAATATAAAAATAATAAATTATACTTCAGATGTTAATTTAGTATCAAAAACGTAAAATATTTGAGTAGCCCAAGACATAGCCAAAGATTGAAGCGCCACAGCACTGGCGAAAATTTAAATTTGCCGACTGGAATTCTTTCGGATGATTGACGTTTCGGATGATTGACTTTCGGAAAATCGACGCTCTACTGTATTTATAACAGAATCATTTCCTGAATTTTGTCATAACTTGAAAATATGTCATGGCAGTGAATTGAAACATCTCATAACATATTTGATGACTCATTTAGATGATATAACTTATCAGTAAGCCATTTATCTACTCAATTCAGAGAAATATGCATAAGTAAAATGGCATGTTCTTCTTGAAACATTCCAAATGTCTTGCTTCTTTAATATTCCTAAACATTCAACAATTTCCAATCAAAATTTTCTTACAAAGTACTACAATGTGATATCAATTTTAGTCCATGTTTTTATAATTTAAGATCCAACACATTCAATATATCAATATAAAATCATAGACTTTACTACTGTTTGATAACAATAATATAGTTAAATAAAGTAAAAAAAAAACTATTAAAAAATTCTTGATATTTTTTTTCAGCCAATAAAACAAAATAATAAAATATTATTTTCAGTGTTACTAATAATCAATTAACCAACAGTCAAACAATTGAGCAGAAATTATCCTACAAATATTATATTTAGAAATCACATGACAAGAACAACAAGAGGTAGATGCCAGGTGCCATCACTCAACCAAAGTAGAAACCACAATTCAATTCCAATTCATGTTTTGACTGTTGGTTGATTGTTAATACATTGGGTTATTGGGATGTTGATATAGTGTTACTAATGTGATAACGATAAGACATCTGCAACAATAAAGTTGTCAGCCTGTCACTTTGAAAGATCTAAATTAGAGGAAGTTAGAAATCAAAAATTTTCATGGATATCTAGCCTCTACTCTACTCCTTTGCTACTTAATTGTCTGATTATGAGCCTGGCTGGATCAGTGACAGGTTTGTTAAAAGGCTCTCTTAGTGCCCACAGGTGGAAGAGAAAAAGAAAAATATAGGAAAAAATAAATAAATAAATAAACTGAAGATAATATAAATAAAAACAATAACTTTCATATCCTGAAATATACAAAAAATCTTAAAATAAAGCCAGTTTTTTGCAACTATCTTAAAATTATATTTGTTTTCAGAGCTTTACTAATCAAAGATGAGAGAATGACAAACTTATTAGAAGACTAAAATGAAATATAGTAACTTTTTCCTTTAAATATATTTCTTTTTCTAAACAAAGAGCATATTCTGATATGATAATGCAAATCATCCTCTGTAACATTTAAAATGATACTAATTTTCTAAATTGCAAATTTTTAAACAATGCTCTGTATTTTAGGCTTATAATGTAATAAATTGTCACAAAATATAAATATAAATAATTGTAATATCGAATGGATATTTTTATTTATTACAATATAAACTTTATAGTATTAAGAGCTCTGTAAAGTATTGTAATGTTTTCTTCCTCTTAACATTACTTTAATTATTAAATGCATGTGAACATTAATCTTAAATAATATTACCATAGCCAGTGATTATGAAAGTGATCTAAGTCAAAAACAAGAAAAAACTGAATTTATTTCACAAAATATTCATAAAATTTTACAATTATATTAAAAAAACACTATTTTGTAAGAATAAATATATTTGTGATTTTTTTATATATTAAATATAAAATAAAAAATATATACAGCATGTTTTTAATTGTTACAAATCCAAAAGTCAAAATATCTCCAAATAAAGAATATACAACAGACCATTTTTATAACCACCAGCTCATATAAATTTTTAAGAATTAGTATAATGATTAGATTTACAAAATTATTAGTAAATTGCCAATTAAATCATAAAAAGTCTAATTATCCCAATGTATTAAATAAATGGAATAAATTATCACCACTGATTTAATTCTTAGATGGTGATGATGACTGATGATAATAAAATATTGTATTAAATGTATTTTGATGAAATAGACTGATCTGTAAGAAATATGAATTTCAAGCAAAGGTTATACAGTTATTTTATTAAACTAAAAATTGTGCTATTATTTTTATACATCTTAGATCATCATCTGTCTAATGAATTCCATTTGCTAAAAATTTGATTAAAAAATATTTTTCTTATATTTTCTGAAATGAAAAAAAACTACTTACGAAGGAATTAATGGTGGTGGAAGTCCACCTGAACTAATGGGCCTTGGCGGAGCAGCCGGAGGCGGTCGATTCGGTCCAGATGGATCTGGACGTCCCGGAGCGGGACGCGATGCCAAGGGTGGTGGCGGCGGTGCTCTAGATCCACCAGGATTTCTTCTACCACTACCCGGTGAAGGTGAAGATGGCCTAAAATAAATAATTCATAATGTTGTTATTATTAAACAGCTTCACATTTAACAGTGGCAAAAGCAATACTTACACAATATAATTTTATGTTATAAATATTTGAAAGAAAATAAATTAAGGATAATAAATAAAACAAATCATTATCAAACTAATATAGATTAATGAAACATCCGACTGGTTTGACACTGATTGCTTATAACTGAGAATATCATTTTCTGTGAGCAATTATTTATTGTGACATGATCACAATGCCGGGCTGCAATTTTTAATCATATTTTTAATAATTTTTTAATTTAAAATATATGCTCTCCACTTCAAATTAGTAGAGTTTTACCCCTGTATATCATACTTTTCCATTAGAAACAGTGTTGTGAGATTTTGGGGTGATTAGTTAGTTAAATTAAAGGAATTAAAAATTAATATGCAGTTAATTACAAAGTGGAAAAAATCCACTTTCTTTTTCCCACCACCTGGCCTTTCCATTGACTTCTGATCCAATAGATAAAAGACAATTAAATCACCTTACAAATCAACAATTTTTAACAATGTTTTGAATAAGTGTCAAGAATAAATCTAAACAGATGGTTATTAATGGGGAAACCATCAAAATTAGTAAAATTGTGAGGTAAGAGGCATCACAACACCTCATTGATGATGTCTAGAAACCTTGAATTTGTTTGCCTTATATGGTAAAAAGAGTTAGAACACCTAGCAAAAGTATCAAAAACCTGGCTGAATTGTAAAATTACAGGTAGCCCTCAGTTTACACCGGTTCAATTTACGCTGATTCACAATAACGCCGCTGCGCAATTCGCCGTTTTGAGGTGTAATTCCCCGATTTTCCCTATGCTAGACTGATTTTCATTTCAGTGTTGACGTATTTACCGAGCCCTGACATTGTACATTCGTTAAAACAAAGATTTATATTAAATATATTTATTTTTTTTTCTGTTTAATATTATTGGGTATGTATACATTTGCATTAAATTAATATTAAAATACTAAATGTTTAGGTACCCACGAGTCAAGATATTAAACTTAATAGTCCAATAAATGGCGTCCGAATCCATAGCGCCAATGAATGTATCCCGTATCAGTTCATTCAGGAAAACACCTTATGACGCAATAGCACTTCCGGCGATCACAAATTATCGTTAGTGAGACAAATCTACTTCTCGTTGGCCAGACGATATTTATCTCTCCTTAGCCACCTTGAATTTTCCCACTTAAACTGACCTTATATATGTGCTACAGCGACCGGTGGTCGACCAATCATTGCCTTCGCTCATCTGTAGCTCTACGTCGGGTTAACGTATCCTTTCAACTAAGGAAAGTTTGATGGATGAAGTTTGTGAGTTAGACAACGTTGGGAGTGAAGTGCAAATGTAAACAGGAGCATCATATTCGACCATATTCCTATATTCTTAATGAAAGAAATCAAAAATGTAAACAATTAAAGATGGATACTTTTTTCCGAAAAATGTAAGAAATTCGAAACTAAAGTTTTTAAATAAAAACATTTTACTTTATTTTATGATAAAATACATTTTAAAAATTAAAAATTTATATGTATTTTGTATTATATTGTATTAATAAACAAAATTATTTGTTTATTTTTCACTTGTGTAGAACCTAACTCTATACCTCACTGTAAATATGGGTTCATTTTACACCGATTCGATTTGCGCCGGCTTTTGAAGGAACAGAACTGCGGCGTAAACCGAGGGCTACCTGTATTATGGCCTGTATCAGCCAAACCAGTGACACATCTTGACCTTAGACAACATTAAATCAAAATCACCTGATTCTACTCCCATGCTCAGGGAGAATAAAAAGGGCTCACACCCGACCATTGGGGTGATTATCCAAAGAACCGTCCCCTAGTGAGTTGCCATCCAGAATCTTGGAGAAAGAAGACACCTCTCTACCAGCACTACGTTAAAAGAGATATTATGTTTGACCATTTTATTGTAAACTCTCTCTCACAGTCTTTTAGTTTGTAAGTAGATAGATAATCACTCAGAAAGCTGGGTCCCTATTGACCCATTTAACCGAACAACTGTTATGTTTTCTTATTCTGATTGTATTCTCTTGTAATCCTTTGTTTTTTATATTAAACTTGTTAAGTTATCTAAATGGTTGTTTTATCTCATATATCTTTACTGACACCTTACCAATGACCTCGCTAACCCTTCCCACTCACGTTAACTATCACCATCCACTAATCCAGTGAGCGGTCCTCAACAGACTGATGCTGACCAAAGGGGTTGGCAGTAATGACTTCTCACAGTGTCATGCAGGTCATCTAACTCCTTTCAGAGAAAAATTATTGAATTGAAATAATGTGCTTCTGGTTTGCACTGGAAGTTTGTATATAATTAATCAGGACCTCCTGCCCGTTAGGTTTCCATATGTGGTCACAGCATTCCATATCCGTTCTCAAGATTAAGGAAGAACAGTGGGAATTTATAGACGAACAAGATGGACAAACAACAGTGGGAATTTATAGGTCTACAACAATTTTTTCAAATTGCAGCCCAATAACTTCACAAGTATATTATTATATTACCTTAACTATGAAACATATAGCAATCTTCAAATTTCTGATATATTATTTTGACACTAACTATTAATTTCTGCATTAGCTTACTAAGCAGGTTTTCAGTAATATTATGCAGAATTCTATATTTCAGAATTTTTTATTTTTAATAACATGAGATCAATAACATCAAATAAAATTGGCAACTATCATATTCAGATTATATATAAAAATATTAGAAACAAAAAAAAATAAACAAACATCATTATTATTATGTTGTTGTTTAAAAATTTACCGTGGTGATTCAGGAGGTTGTATTTTTAGCCAATCATCTTTTATTGGAGGTGGTAATGGTTGATATGAGGTTTGCATTGATACATCACCAATGATCTGTAATGCTTCTTTACATGCATGGTACATTCTCAATGTCTCCTCTCTTTTATGAGCCTCATCGGCGGATTCTTCCATTAGTTTTGCCTGAAATATAAAAACACACATTCTATAGTAAGAATATATATACTGTAAGCAAAAACTAATTAAAATTTTTTCTAAAAATATAGCTATTATTAAAATCCAACAAACAAACTTATAAAAGCTATCAGCCCACCAGTGGCCGAGTGATTAAAACCACTGAACAATGGTAGTTGGTTGTGGGTTTGTGTCTGGCCAATGAAGTTTTCTGGGTTTTCTTCTTGTTAGTAAGACCTGAATAGGGGCCAGTTTCCCATAAAAGACCTCCCAGGAGACATTATATAATCCTCAGCAGATCATCATTTGTCATGTTGCCATATACAAACAAACCAATCAAAAAACTATCAACATATAACAGTAAAATCCGCATCACTTTGGGGCTTGCCTAAACTTATAACAATAATCAAGTACATTTAAAATAAAAATGAACATGTTAAAATTATTAAAAAAAAGTATAACTTGAAAATTTATTAATTATTGTATTTTCATGGAATTATCAGCATGCCAATCTATCTGGGGAGACCAGGAAATCAGCTATTTCTGTATGGTAAAAGCGAGCATGCTGGTTTAAGTGAGGTTATACACCCCTCTCTAAAGAACGCATAAAAAAAAAAATAAAAAAAACAGAGTTATGCCATGTAAAAATGAACAAGTTTTTATTCTAAAACTGCAAAACTGTCAGCATTACATCAAAACCTATGATTATAGGTTGTTTAATTTCTTCATTTTGTCTTCTTTCTAACAACATAAAATACTCTTGAAATTCTGAAAATGCTTTTTTATTAAACATTTCTACTAACTTAAACCAGTTATTTATGTTAGGGCTTATCACACCAGTGAATATGGACATAAAATTTCTTAAATTTATTTTATATTTAAGTTTACAAAACAGAGAGATTTTACAATAATAATCTAATATGTATACAATTCACCCAAAATAAATTTCAGACTCTAAAAACAAAATAAATTTCAGACTAAAATAGTCCCTCTTCAGTTGGTATTTCAATAAAGATCGTAAGATAAAAATACATAAAAGTTATATTAAAAGGCTAAAATAACCACAAAGACATCACAATTAAGAAACTGATGTTATCTCAACTGCCATATAATAAATTCTATCTTTTTCATGTTTTTTAGAATCAAGTCAGCCATAGAGAGTTCTACACACAATTACAATCAGTTACAGACCACTTTAAATATCAAACAATAAAGTAATGAACACAATACTTACAATTGTGACTTCAAATTATTGAGTTTTGAATTATCCAAGATTTACATATTTCTGTAGAATAAATCAAAACCCATGTAACTGACATAACTTGTTAAACAATAAATTAATACAGTTATGTATTAATTTATTGTTTATTTACTGAATATGGCTATGTATACAGAACATTATTTTCATTAATTAATAATAATAATAATAACTTTGTCAAAAACTTTTATTAATAAATCAGTCTTTTTTATGAGAACTATCAAGAATGTTGCAGAGTTATTTATTTTTACAAGAACTATTACCGTGACATTTTGAGTTGCATTTTAAGTTCTTTGAGAGACATTTGCATTTTTTATCAATATAGTATCTTTTACAGTGACACATTATAAACCTTGCTTACTTCCAGATGTTGATGTGGATGCTGAGCAAAGTGTTAATAAAGTTGAGCATACATCCTGAATGCTAATAAAGTTACTCTCAGAAATTGTAAATTCGTTACAAGCATAAAGTCGATCAAGAAGACTTTCCTTGTTTCCTAACTGGTAGACCTGATGGATTAATGTTCATATCAACAGCTAAACATTTCTGGGAGCTGCACATCCCCTATCAACATCAGGCATCCTAATTAAAATATTCAAACCAATTTCAACTGCAGGAAATTTTGAGTTGGGTAGTGAAATCATTTTGTGTGCCTATTTCTCTAGTGGTCAAATATCATGAAAGCCACGATGCAAATTTTGCTTTGTGGTCTTTTTGAGTTAGTCACAACACATTTGCGGCTGTTTTTACGAGTTCCACAACACAAATATTGCGTTGTGGTCTCTTTAAATCATCCACAACGCATTGTGGACATTTTTTTCACTCAATGAGCCTCAATGAGCATTTTTGTTCTTTGAGCCTAACATATATTTTCATTTTCATAAAGGGGATGAAGACTCGGGACTACTCATTGGTATTGCCCGAGTGTGAAGAAGAGTAGAGGAAAGGTAGTTAAGGGAAGAGGCGAAGGGGAAAGAGTAAAGCGAGATAGGAAAGGGGATGAAAAGGAAAAGTTTCATGGGCGCCCAGCCTGTTTTATTAAGAATCAAATGAAACATACAGATATGGCTCCTGGCCATCAGATACAGACAATAATTGCAATATTTACAGTATGTACAATTGAAGACAGTTTGATTACACGTAGTTTGAAAACAATTTTAACCGAAAAAAAAAACAGAAGAACATAAATCAAATCAATATTTTGAACAAATACAGTTCTTGCCTGTCAGAATACAGACGATAAATAAACTTTTAACAAAATATTTTAAGGAAAAATAATTACACATAGAATGATCAAATTTACTAATCGAAAATACAATAGTAATTAGACAACATTAATTAATGTATTAATCAAATATGGCTTCTCGCCATCAAAAAACATAAATTATACATTGATGAAATCTGAATCTTACAGTTATCACCGAAAGTAAAGTATTACAATAAATTAACTTAAACTATATATCGAAAAGGTTATAACAAATAAGCGTCGTTGCAAAGTGGACACTTGTAGTCCATTAACCCTTGGATTACCGATTGTTTCTTATCTTCTGTAGTTCTGCTTTAAAACACGGGCACTGTTTGTCCAATGTGTTGTGATCTGTGTTTTGATATCCTTTCTTTTTGCAATTGACACATGTTGCTTTCTCTTCTTTGTATTCGCAATTTCTATACAAGTGTCCTCCTCCACATTGGCTACAAATCACTTGTTCTGTTTTGCAACTTCTTGCAATGTGTCCGAATTCCAAGCATTTCATACATCTTTATACTGACATATATTCAAATACTGGGCACCTTGTCCATTCAATATTTAATTTTCCTTCATTTATTAAAATTTCTCTTATGACAGTAGTTACTTCCAGTACCCATGTATTGAATTCCTTGTTTCTTTGTTGAAATGAGAACTTTATTTCCATTTGGTCCTTTACCGATTCCCTCGCCATGTTCTCTGAGAAGCAAAGGTTCTGTTCATATATAATTGTAGTTAAATCCTCTCTTTTAATATGTTTAGGGACTGAAACTATTTTAACAAAAAGCTTGCTTTTGCTTCCTCTTATGGCTTCTAAGTTTTTTATCTTTTTTAATTCATGCATTAAAATCTCCATATCATTTAAGGTACAAGTGTCGACTGCAATTCTTCCTTTATTTAGGTTTCTGATTCTTTTAATCCCTAATGCCAGTTTAATTGGGTCTATTCTTTTTGTTATTGATTCTATATGGAATCTTGACTATCCTCTTTCTTTTTGCTGTTTACTATTACTGTGTACTGGGGAGTAGGGGTTTGAAAATTACACTCTGTTTGTTTTGTTCCCATTTTAAGCGCTTCACTATAGCTAGTTGGAGACTGTATCTTGTTTGTTCCCTTTGAGAGGGTCTCATTAATAGAAATCATTTCTTCTCTTATACTGTTTATCTCTCCCACCGTTTTATCTGTATTAATTTTAATTAACTCTTCCAATTCTGACTTCTTCTTCTCTACTTCCGATTCATTTACTCTCTTTTTAAGCTCATTAACCTCATTTCTAATGTCTTTAATAATTGTCATTGATTTTCCATTGCTTTCGTTTATTATTTCAACTAACTCCTCTCTAGATATTGGTAGGATAGATTTTTCCTTTTGTTTAACTTGGTTGTAATTTTCTTTCATTGTTGCTTCAGCTAACTGTATTATTTTAGTAACTTTTTCAGTAATGATTCTTATATGTTCTCCTGTAGCTAGTTTTCCATTTGGATTTCCTTTCATATATCCCTTGATATCGTTCAAAATTTGATAAGATTTTTCCGAAAAAATATCAATGACATTAGATTCAGCCATTATAATAACAGAACACTTCCCTTGCGACTATCACAATTCCAAAATTCCAATTAAAACCATATATTTAAATAACGCAGACTTAATCTAAGCCGATAACTTCCTGACTGGGGAATCCCCGTTGCCAGAGAGACGGCCGTTATAAAAAAATCGTTACAGGTCGTTGACCTGGTAGAGTGTAAAACTTTAAGAATTTTAAAAACTGCGATAAAAACTTAAATAATTGCTCTATCTTAACCAAATTTACGGAGAATACGTAAGCTAACTCGCTTAAAATGATAATACAATCTGTTTTAAGTTCAGATCATCCAGAAGCCCGATGCGGGCCGATTAAGTCAGACGAAAAAGTCTAAAAATCTCTTAAACTAATAGGTCCACTTTAACCAAAATTATACAGTTTACTCACAGGTAGGTCCAGATCATCAATTCGTCGTCCTTTCCGGTTAATCCGCCAAGGCACTCCGGAAAATCGGCTTCAAAGTTTCCAAATTTCATCTGTCAATTTCTCCAAAAATATTGGTCCTTTTCCCAAAATTCTTACACCATTTTATTCCTTGTCGAAAGCCAAATCCAATGATATTACTCACTACTCTTTAAAAATATAATCCAGTGAAAAACTGCGCGATCAACAGGAGCCCATTTTCACACAACCATCTCAGATCGCGACTGGACGCTTAGCCTAACATATATACAGAAGATACACCTTTGTAGCATTTAATTCATGTAATAAACATGATTAAAAACATCATTTTTTTTTATCTAGATAAGATAACTGATATGTTATTTTAAAATTTAAAAAATACTATGTTGGTAATTATTTGGGATGCACCTTAGTGGCCTAGAGCTCTACAAATATTTCAATCTGTCCTTGTAGCCCAATCTTGCAATCTGAAAAACTAGCCATATTTTATGAGATAAGAAAAAAAACAAGGGTAGTCCATGGAAAAGTGACACTTGAAAATGTGTTACTGTAAAAACAATGCCATGTAAGACCAGATTATAATTTTTCTTGGTCTATTGTTCTCTTATAGTGTGATCTAAGAGTTAACATATACATATCACAGTTCGGACAGAATTTTAACTTCAAATATCAAAGTAGCTGTATTTTGAACTAACCAAATTCCTTAATATGTAAATCTCTATATCCCTGTCTGGGACAAAACTACAGTTATGAAATAATGGGATTTTGAACTATTTGAGTTCAAATTAACAAGGATTTACTGTATTTAATACTAGCAGACCCCGCCACGTGTTGTTGTGGCTCAAAATGTATCTATTATAAATTTATAACACTTCCCCGTGGGGGGGAAATTTTTCGAAAAATTTCTTCTTAGTGTACATTCTGTTGACGTACCCTATTAAAACGGAAAAAAAATGCATCTAAAATAGTATAAATAGAAGCAGAGTTCTTTACGGTAAGCCTTAATCCTAACCATCTCCCTTCAGTGGGGGGAATTTCGACACGGATATTATATAATTACACGTGCGTATTCGAATGCAGCATTGTGTCAAAATTTCAAAGGAATTGGTAGGAACGAACGAACATTACATTTTTATTTATATAGATAGATAGAAGATGATCTGCTTTAGTTCATTTTCACAGAAAAGCGTAATGCCTCACATAAAAGCAAAACTTAGGGCGTTGTTCTCGTAGCACCATCTGTTGGACATAAAAGCCTTAACCTAGATTATATACTTTAATTTATATGAATGTTTAATGGAATAATATACAGCCTATGTCCACACTGAGGTTCCATTCTAAATACTGGTGAAAGAATTTTTGAAATCGGATGAGTAGTTTCGGAGATTACCTGCTGCAAACAAACTTACATACATACATACTTACAAACATTACCTCTTTATAATATTAGTATAGATTTAGAACCCTGGTTAAGACTAACATTGTGCATTATAAGCCATATTTGAGATCAACAGTGTAAAAAAATGGTTTAAAAATGCCTATTTATCCAAAAGTTAATGTTAATTATAACCAAAACTAAATAAAGTTTTATAAGTGTATTTTAATTTATGTTTTAGAACATATTAATTCTAAAAGCATTACATGACTGTGATTATAAATAAATGGATTCTATTACAAATGCAAATACTTCTGTCAAGTTCAATCTGCATTACTTTTAAAAAAGTCATTGACCTTCATTTGTTTGTCAAAACTTTTTATTTTTACAATAAACAGTAAACTTTCAATATTTGTGATGTTTTCTTAATCTCTTTTAGTAGTATTGTGAGCATACAAAAATGGTCTCTTGGACTGGAAAACTTAAGTGCTTTATTAAAACTAGGAATTGGTTTTAAATCAGCTTTGTCATCATTACCACCATCCCTTCCTCTCCAGCACATCATCTAGCAGATAAGTGCAAGGTTGCGCTATTTGTAAATTTACATTTTTTTTTTCATTTGCAAAATTTCTTTTTCTTTCACATTTTTTCACAACTAAAATGCATTTATATGTAAGCTAGAACTGTAATACAACTGTAATAATTGTAATTTCAAGTAAGTAAATTGTTTGCAGATTAGGCTTGTAGATATTAATGATATTGAATGCTTACTAACAAAAGTTTAATAACTCTTATTTTTGTTCCATTATTCCTTAACTAACCTTTCATTTATCTAACTTAAATATAATAGTTTATAAAACTATGATAATTGGATAACTAAGGCAATCTGTTCTGCAGAAGAGAGATTCAAATCTAAATTGAATCTTTAAAAATTTTTCATGGATAATCTGGCATGGATAAATTTGCACTGAGGCAGCTGAGTGATGAGGGATGAGACCCAACATATTAAAATGTTGGGTCTCATCCCTCATCACTCAGCTGCCTCAGTGCAAATTTAACTCAACCTGTAGCAAGCATACTACATATTCATTTTTGATGCCCATGAAGTTGAAAAAAGAGCTATTTTTCAAATGAATTAGCAATCAATAGATTATAATTTTAAAAAATTGGTTTTTAGTTTAATCTATATTCAATAATGAGATAGTTTTTTTCTTTATAACTTATTATTTGATGGAGATTATAATAAATAAAATTATCCTCATATTAGATTGCTAAAAAATGCTAGTTCCAAATAAATAAACTGAATAATTATAGATAAAATACTGCATCATTTTTAAAAAATATGTTGATAATTGTAAAAGACATACCTGATCTCCACATGCATATAATGCAGCCAACAACTCTGAATATATAAAATCTTTTGTCTACAAGAAACAAAAATTGTTTTAATTATTTAAATATTCAAAAAATACAAAATTTTTAATATTAAATTTTTAACTTACATTATTGATTGTTAAGTGCATTATAATTTTTGGTACAAGATCACGGAAAGTTTTAGTAACAATTCTCATGTAAGAATCTACCAAATTTCGAATAGTTTCAACTTGTCGTTCTAACTGAGGATCCATTGAAGTAGTTCCTTCTCCACCGCCAGTTTCACCATTAGATAATTCTGATGTTGTTCTTTCTGGATAAACACCAGCACGCAAGAATGAAGCTTTCCAACTATCTACATCTTCTTGACTTTCACAAGATAATTCCAGTTGTTTATAATCTTTGTAAACATTTCTAAAATAAATAAATATTTCACTTCAATAATATTAAAATATATTATCAATTACTATTAAATTGTTTTATTATTTGTAGATATTAGAACTATTTGATATTATGTACTATTTATGAGAACCAATAAATGTACTCAATAAAACAAATAACCAATATTTATATGAACAAAATATTCAAATCAGTGTGATGAGAATGAAGTTATCATGAATGCTAAATGGCTTTCAGGTTCCATTCCTCATTTTCTTTGTTTTATTTACACAATGTATTCATTTGCTAGGAGATAAATGCCATTTGTTCTAATGAAGTTGAAGTGTTTAGTAAATTATCTCTTCTTTGAAAATCCCTTCTAACAGTAATTATATTATTATTAATTACAACAATTTTATTTTATACTATTTCACTTGTTTGCTTAACTAACTTTCATTTTCTTACCATTAAATAAAGAAATGTCTGATAACTTATGTACAGGTATCCCTCATACAACACAGCTCTAACTGTCTTGTACGAGGGATTTGGTACAGCTCTGGTTTAAAAACTGGGGATATTCCCATACAACACAACTTCCAGTTTCCCTCAAGGTTTTGGAAATCCTCCATACAAAATTTCACAATTTTTAAGTGTAAACTCCACTATTTGATATATATTTTTAAAAATTCAAGTAAGCATGTGTTATCTAAACTTTGCCCATGGATTTTAGAATATTGAAATTTTCAAATTATTTTGTGATTTTTGTCAGGTTTATTTAATAAAAACTGATAGGACAAGGAAGAAAAAATTAACTATCTATCATATCAACCAAGTGTTATTGTCATTGCTTTCAGACTTTAGTCCTTAAGACTGTCACCATATTTTCTTTTTATAGATTAATCTTTGTATTTAGTAAAATTTAAATAAACATTTTTAGATAAGCAATATTACACTTTTTTTTTTAAACTAGGCAAACAATCATCTGTAAAATGAAAATGAAATATGGCAATATCTCGGTAATCAAACAATTTGGTATTCAAACACAAATTCTGGAAAAAGTCACTTGTACTCAACTGAACAAATGCGATCCACTAGAACAAATTTTTGATAAATTTGTACAGTTTTTTTTTTATAATTTTGAAACCGTGTTGGTAATTATTGTTGTCTCCTAAATACCCTAGTACTGTACAAACACTTAGATGAAAATTGCCTAGTGTTTGAGTGTTTGTACTACAGTATTTAGGAGACAACAAAAATACAGTATTTTTATTTTGTCATCCATAAAAATAAAAAATATGAAAATGTTGCTGATACTTCAGATCATGATCAACAAAAAGGCTGAGATGATGAAAACAATACTTTGTAAAAAGAAAATATTAGTTAAATAAGGGCATTAACACATAATACAGCTCTTTTAATTGTGATTGTTAATTAATTACTAATTGGAAATAAATTATCAATTGCTTTAATAAAGGTATTTCTTTTAGTAACGAAAAAGAAGAGTATATGTTTGCTAACTTCTGAAACATAACCCTATATTTTGCATTAGTTATTTGTTTCATATAGCATGGATTTGCATAACATTGTGCTTTTTCAAAACATAACTACCATATTATACGAGGGATACCTGTACTATGTATCTCTCATTCTGTATTGAGAGAAACCTAATAAATTCTTTCATTTTATTTCATTTTGAATCATAGATTGATAGGTAAAAGGTGTTTTGCAGAATGTTATTTGGGAAATATGGGTAGAATAATTGAATTACTAAAAAAAATCATTACAAGGTTTTGAGACAAGATGTGATGGTGAATTCAAGATATACTGTATTCCTTTTTTTTGTTAAAAAATTTTCTTCTTAAAAATTTGAATAATGAATTTAATTCTTTATATTTTAAATCAATGAGGGCAGTTTGAATATCTGTTCTTAAAAATTCTTAAACAAGACAATTTTTTTCTGTAAAAATTTTAAATATAGAAAAGAACCCACTCATTGTAATCACTTTAGAACTCACCTATATCAATGATAACTCAGTAACAATAATAGGGTAAGTAAATCAGACTATAATTTGTTGAAATGCTGGTTTAATTGTTGACATTAAAATAACATTTTAAAACAATGAAAAAATATATGATTTAATGATTTATTAATTAATAGTAATTCATCCTGTTTTGTTTGCCTACTGTTTTTTGCAGTACAATTATAGGCTAGCATATAATTGAAGTAAAATGCCAACAATTTAAAATCTCTGTACTATGAGCAAATGCTTAAAGCACTAATTAATCTTAACACTAACTGATAATGATTACACATTACCACTCACATGTTAAAGACTAATAGTGTAAAAAGACAGCTTAAAAGTATGTAGCTACCTGAAGATAATGATAGCAATAATTGGCACTCTAACTTAAAAATAACTTATAAAACTTTGCTTAACTAATATGTTTTGGGACATGTTAATTCTGATAATAGTATCCACAATTATAATAAGCAGATTCTACTATGTAAAATTTTATATTATATATGATTTGATTAGTCAGAATATTTGAGGTTTGAAATATGAAAATTTTGAATGGCTATTCTTAATTATTAATCACAGTGACAAAAGTAACAGTTAAATAATATTTACTTAATTTAAATGTATGTTGTTTATAATTTTGNGGTTCATTTTACACCGATTCGATTTGCGCCGGCTTTTGAAGGAACAGAACTGCGGCGTAAACCGAGGGCTACCTGTATTATGGCCTGTATCAGCCAAACCAGTGACACATCTTGACCTTAGATAACATTAAATCAAAATCACCTGATTCTACTCCCATGCTCAGGGAGAATAAAAAGGGCTCACACCCGACCATTGGGGTGATTATCCAAAGAACCGTCCCCTAGTGAGTTGCCATCCAGAATCTTGGAGAAAGAAGACACCTCTCTACCAGCACTACGTTAAAAGAGATATTATGTTTGACCATTTTATTGTAAACTCTCTCTCACAGTCTTTTAGTTTGTAAGTAGATAGATAATCACTCAGAAAGCTGGGTCCCTATTGACCCATTTAACCGAACAACTGTTATGTTTTCTTATTCTGATTGTATTCTCTTGTAATCCTTTGTTTTTTATATTAAACTTGTTAAGTTATCTAAATGGTTGTTTTATCTCATATATCTTTACTGACACCTTACCAATGACCTCGCTAACCCTTCCCACTCACGTTAACTATCACCATCCACTAATCCAGTGAGCGGTCCTCAACAGACTGATGCTGACCAAAGGGGTTGGCAGTAATGACTTCTCACAGTGTCATGCAGGTCATCTAACTCCTTTCAGAGAAAAATTATTGAATTGAAATAATGTGCTTCTGGTTTGCACTGGAAGTTTGTATATAATTAATCAGGACCTCCTGCCCGTTAGGTTTCCATATGTGGTCACAGCATTCCATATCCGTTCTCAAGATTAAGGAAGAACAGTGGGAATTTATAGACGAACAAGATGGACAAACAACAGTGGGAATTTATAGGTCTACAACAATTTTTTCAAATTGCAGCCCAATAACTTCACAAGTATATTATTATATTACCTTAACTATGAAACATATAGCAATCTTCAAATTTCTGATATATTATTTTGACACTAACTATTAATTTCTGCATTAGCTTACTAAGCAGGTTTTCAGTAATATTATGCAGAATTCTATATTTCAGAATTTTTTATTTTTAATAACATGAGATCAATAACATCAAATAAAATTGGCAACTATCATATTCAGATTATATATAAAAATATTAGAAACAAAAAAAAATAAACAAACATCATTATTATTATGTTGTTGTTTAAAAATTTACCGTGGTGATTCAGGAGGTTGTATTTTTAGCCAATCATCTTTTATTGGAGGTGGTAATGGTTGATATGAGGTTTGCATTGATACATCACCAATGATCTGTAATGCTTCTTTACATGCATGGTACATTCTCAATGTCTCCTCTCTTTTATGAGCCTCATCGGCGGATTCTTCCATTAGTTTTGCCTGAAATATAAAAACACACATTCTATAGTAAGAATATATATACTGTAAGCAAAAACTAATTAAAATTTTTTCTAAAAATATAGCTATTATTAAAATCCAACAAACAAACTTATAAAAGCTATCAGCCCACCAGTGGCCGAGTGATTAAAACCACTGAACAATGGTAGTTGGTTGTGGGTTTGTGTCTGGCCAATGAAGTTTTCTGGGTTTTCTTCTTGTTAGTAAGACCTGAATAGGGGCCAGTTTCCCATAAAAGACCTCCCAGGAGACATTATATAATCCTCAGCAGATCATCATTTGTCATGTTGCCATATACAAACAAACCAATCAAAAAACTATCAACATATAACAGTAAAATCCGCATCACTTTGGGGCTTGCCTAAACTTATAACAATAATCAAGTACATTTAAAATAAAAATGAACATGTTAAAATTATTAAAAAAAAGTATAACTTGAAAATTTATTAATTATTGTATTTTCATGGAATTATCAGCATGCCAATCTATCTGGGGAGACCAGGAAATCAGCTATTTCTGTATGGTAAAAGCGAGCATGCTGGTTTAAGTGAGGTTATACACCCCTCTCTAAAGAACGCATAAAAAAAAAAATAAAAAAAACAGAGTTATGCCATGTAAAAATGAACAAGTTTTTATTCTAAAACTGCAAAACTGTCAGCATTACATCAAAACCTATGATTATAGGTTGTTTAATTTCTTCATTTTGTCTTCTTTCTAACAACATAAAATACTCTTGAAATTCTGAAAATGCTTTTTTATTAAACATTTCTACTAACTTAAACCAGTTATTTATGTTAGGGCTTATCACACCAGTGAATATGGACATAAAATTTCTTAAATTTATTTTATATTTAAGTTTACAAAACAGAGAGATTTTACAATAATAATCTAATATGTATACAATTCACCCAAAATAAATTTCAGACTCTAAAAACAAAATAAATTTCAGACTAAAATAGTCCCTCTTCAGTTGGTATTTCAATAAAGATCGTAAGATAAAAATACATAAAAGTTATATTAAAAGGCTAAAATAACCACAAAGACATCACAATTAAGAAACTGATGTTATCTCAACTGCCATATAATAAATTCTATCTTTTTCATGTTTTTTAGAATCAAGTCAGCCATAGAGAGTTCTACACACAATTACAATCAGTTACAGACCACTTTAAATATCAAACAATAAAGTAATGAACACAATACTTACAATTGTGACTTCAAATTATTGAGTTTTGAATTATCCAAGATTTACATATTTCTGTAGAATAAATCAAAACCCATGTAACTGACATAACTTGTTAAACAATAAATTAATACAGTTATGTATTAATTTATTGTTTATTTACTGAATATGGCTATGTATACAGAACATTATTTTCATTAATTAATAATAATAATAATAACTTTGTCAAAAACTTTTATTAATAAATCAGTCTTTTTTATGAGAACTATCAAGAATGTTGCAGAGTTATTTATTTTTACAAGAACTATTACCGTGACATTTTGAGTTGCATTTTAAGTTCTTTGAGAGACATTTGCATTTTTTATCAATATAGTATCTTTTACAGTGACACATTATAAACCTTGCTTACTTCCAGATGTTGATGTGGATGCTGAGCAAAGTGTTAATAAAGTTGAGCATACATCCTGAATGCTAATAAAGTTACTCTCAGAAATTGTAAATTCGTTACAAGCATAAAGTCGATCAAGAAGACTTTCCTTGTTTCCTAACTGGTAGACCTGATGGATTAATGTTCATATCAACAGCTAAACATTTCTGGGAGCTGCACATCCCCTATCAACATCAGGCATCCTAATTAAAATATTCAAACCAATTTCAACTGCAGGAAATTTTGAGTTGGGTAGTGAAATCATTTTGTGTGCCTATTTCTCTAGTGGTCAAATATCATGAAAGCCACGATGCAAATTTTGCTTTGTGGTCTTTTTGAGTTAGTCACAACACATTTGCGGCTGTTTTTACGAGTTCCACAACACAAATATTGCGTTGTGGTCTCTTTAAATCATCCACAACGCATTGTGGACATTTTTTTCACTCAATGAGCCTCAATGAGCATTTTTGTTCTTTGAGCCTAACATATATTTTCATTTTCATAAAGGGGATGAAGACTCGGGACTACTCATTGGTATTGCCCGAGTGTGAAGAAGAGTAGAGGAAAGGTAGTTAAGGGAAGAGGCGAAGGGGAAAGAGTAAAGCGAGATAGGAAAGGGGATGAAAAGGAAAAGTTTCATGGGCGCCCAGCCTGTTTTATTAAGAATCAAATGAAACATACAGATATGGCTCCTGGCCATCAGATACAGACAATAATTGCAATATTTACAGTATGTACAATTGAAGACAGTTTGATTACACGTAGTTTGAAAACAATTTTAACCGAAAAAACAGAAGAACATAAATNTATTACGACGCAAAATATATTTAAGAGTTTACGACTACTGTGCCGGGTGAGACGTTGTTGAAACAAAAAAAGTTATGCATTCCATCACGTACATAAACAGTGTCGTAATTCGCCAGTGCAAATCAGCAAATTCGTAAAATTTTTGTTTATTTTGAACAATCCGGATAATCGAGGTTCTACTGTACTTAAAAATTAGTACAAATATTAACAACAAAGAATTTGTCCAATGCTATAAGGAAAAATTAGTACAATTTTAATAGTTTTTCAAAAAAAGGTTGTGTGATGCTTTTAAATCCTTTTCTTTTTTGTTTTTACATTCAAAAGTGGACGACAGGATGACCGAGATGATTAAGGTTTAAGTCTAACAATATTGGATCCAGGTTCAAGTTCGGGTTGGAGCCTCAAAAACTTTCAACAGTTATTTGACCTGGATTCCCTCGATATTCGGTCATCCTTATGGTCTAGAATCTAGATGGAGTCGTGATCAGCATAGAAAAAAAGGTTCTCTTAGTATATTCACATGACGGAATTAGAAAGCCATTCCGAATGATACTTTTCTTAATCTAGTAGTTGATGCTAATACGAAAATACGTTGCGAATATAACTTGTATTTCTGCATAGCTATTTCTACAATAGCTAATGGTTTTTAGTTTTTCATTTTGTTCCAAAGAGTTGCATAGCAAATCAACTCTTTGTACATAATTAATTAAATACAGTAAGACCCCGCTTAACTCTGCCCCGCTTAATGCTGATTCGATATAGCGCGGTCTGCTCAAAGCCTAAAAAAAAAGCTCAAAATTTACACTGATTTAAATTATTGCAGCATTTTATTGATTCGTACATAATACGATTATTTATGAACACAAACCAATCAGAAAAAGGTGGCAAAAAGGTGTACTTTCTTTAAATCTATGTTTGTTTGGTACAATTTTGGAAAAAATATATCATCATGGATGCCATAGGCAATATCGGCTTCACTTGGCAAGAATTAACTGATAAATGCATGAATGAAGTGTGGAAGAAGTTATGGCTGAAGGTATTCAAGAATTCTCAACAAGAAAAGCCTATTGCTGTATTGTTAAGTTGATCAAACTCAACCTAATCAATACAGCAGGACTAGGATATTGAGGAGTTATTGCAGATTTCTGGTGAGAGTCTTATCAACGATGACTTTCAAGAACTGGCAGAACAAGGAATCCATGTAGAACTGGAAAATAGTGATTCTGAAAACAAAGAACCCAAAAAATTTCTCTACAGATTTCCTTAGTAAAAGTTTGGTAATGATAACTGAAATCATTGATCAAATTGTAGTGAATGATCCAGATTTTGAAAGGAATGCAAAAGCAAAACCAGGCATTTTGGATGCGATCTTCCGCTACCAACATTTGCTTAAGGAAAGAAAAAAGTGACAAATGAAACTGCACAACTTTATTGCAAAAAAACAAAAATTTCAGAAAAGTCAGGATCTTCGGGTACGTTCGTAAAGTCGAACGAGTTAAACGAGAATGACGTCATCGTTATTCTTATTTCGTTAGACTTTTCGAACGATTCGTTTAGAACTAAATGGCTGTTTCTAAAATCGAAGATACAAATGTTGCTAATACAGCCTTATCCGAAATATTTTTCTTAGATTGCTTCGGGTGGACAGTTACTCCAATCATTTCATCTTTTAATTCACAATTTAAACACTCGAGTAGATTTAGAAACATCAATATCGTCAGGCGCCATTTTCTTAATGAAGTAAACAAACTCTTTCCTTCGTGAACTTCATTAGAGTTTCGTTCCAAACGTCATCACCGCAGAGCATGCGCACTGAGCGAGACTACTACTTTTCAAACGATTCGTTACTAACGCGTTTAACTCGTTCGACTTAACGAACGTACCCTTCATCACAAAAAATGAACTATTAATATAGAAAAAATGAACTAATTAATATATTATTATACATTTCTGTGTGCATATGTTTATGTGTTATTTAACATATATTATTATACAAATAAATATAAAAATAACTTAAAATTAAAATAAAATTTTTTATTTTTGGTTGTGTGTTCCCCTATCCCTATTTACTGTTTAACACTGTTTCATTTTAGTGTTTTGTTGTCTAGGAACGCATCTCCCACATTAAGCAAGGTCTTACTGTATTGACAATTATAATTATTAAACCAATTTAAATGCATAATTATTTTTAAAAAATTCATTATTAGAAATTAAATAAAACCTTTGATCTGGATTGAAGAGAGCAAAAGTATGTCGACGAGACATAAAACCTGGATCAACATCTTTAATCTGTAAACCATCTAATTGCAGCATGTATTTCTTATCTCTCTCCTAGTAAAATTATAAAATTTAAATATACTTATTATAAATACAGTTTTTAAGAAATTATAAGTTTAATGTATTAAAACTATTGTATTTCAAGATGTAAATTGCAATATATGGCAGTTTAAATTCTGGGAGGGAAAATTCAAGTAACAAAATCCAAATAATAAAAATTATTTTATTTTTTAGAATAAGAACAAACATATTTAAAATCAATAAAAAAAATTTATTACATAAGCATATTTAATGTATTGTATGTCGTCTCCTCAATATGCTGTTTAGATTATTGAATCACCATTTAAACTAAATATTGTCAAATTTTTGAGCTATAATTCTTGATTTTTAAATTATCAGAAAAGTAGTTTTTCCCCATGTATTATAATTTAATTTATTAATTGCTTAAATTATTTATAAATATTAAATTTAACATGAAATGGCATCATCATCTATGTCTGTTTACAAATCGTAGTAATAACTAATTTAAAATTCACAATTATAATAATAAAAATTTGACGATACAGGTATCCCTCATATAACATGGTAGTTATGTTTGGATAAAGTGCCATGTTATGAGAATCTGTGCTGTACAAAGGACTAAAACAAAACATGAAATTACGTTCCACAAGTATACTATTATTTTTTGTTAACAAGAGAAATATGTTTATTAAAGCAATCATAATTAACTATCACAATTAAAAGTAATGTATTACAGGTTAATATTAATTTTAGTTAAATGATACAGTGGTGTGCCGTCATTGGAAGCGGTGGAAGCGCCTCTTGCTTGTATTTTCTAAAAAATAAATATATTTTAACGCATTTTGGATTAATTAAAATTAATATTTTATTATAACCGCATTATGTATCTTATTACAAATTTCTATACTACATGTGAGAAAAACGATAAGATTGCTATTGTATATTTGAATATATATTCATATATGCATATTCCCAACAGAAGCTCTGTACTGTCGAATATGGGACAGCTTCTAGAGTGAAAATATTTAAACAGTGTAAAGCAGCCAGATTATAGGCATTTGTGCATGCACTTTACAGAGCACCAACCTCAGGCAACTTAGTTGGTGGAAGCTACACACCAAATTGCTTCCAATTATTCTATCCAGGACTGGTTCTGGGCTGTTAGCAGCCTGTCTGCTAGATATTTGGACACCCTCGCCCATTATGTGAATCACGAGTAGATTTATAACTTAACCCAACTGACAGGCGTTTACTAGTATGTTTTTATGATAATTCTGTATAGTTAACAGGCGTTTTAAAAAAAAATTCATTAAAATATTTGATATATTTATTCTGCTTTTATTCTGTTCTCCCATCTTGTATTACTTACAGATTTCAATGTTAAACTAGTGATATTACAATTTAGTATGTCCCATCTATAAGGAGATACAAAAAAAAAGTGTACAATTTTTGTACGATGTTAAAAAAAAAATAACTGTTACTTTGGCAGCATCATTTACAACTAAATTTAATGAATGAGACGCACAAGGTACAAAAAAAAAGCTCTAGAATTTATATTCCTTAAATTTACGATTTATGTATCCATTGTCATAAAAATTTGCCTTTCCACTTCTTTCCCAAGACTACAAATATTAAAGTATAAAGTAACCAGATTCAACTTATTTCTACTTAACAAGTAGTTAAATAATTAAGAGATTAGGGAATTAGCAACATAAATAAAACCCTGCTGAAAGAGCCAGAATTTTACTTAAAAGCTTAGCTGAACCAATCCCTAGCAGAGTACAGTGGGGACCGATTTCTTCGTAATATTAGATGTAATAAAGACAAATTTTTCCAGTTCAATGAGAATGACCAAAAAGTTGTAAATTTTGGATATTTCTGAGGACACATGGTCATAAAACGAATTAGTTAGAAAACAAATGATGGCTAATCTATTAACATTAGTAAATAATATAAAATAAATATTGAAAATTATAACAAGATAATTACAGCTAATAGATATATTATATCTAAATTAATAGATGTTATATGTTTTTTATCAAAGCAAGAATTGGCATTTAGAGGGCATAGTTGGAATCTATTGAATCTAATAACAGAGGTAATTATATTGAACTTCTTTATTTATTAAGTATGTCAGATAATCTATTAAAAATACATTTACATAAGTCTACAGTTTTTACTGGCATCAAACAAATGAATACGAATGGACCCTAGACCATCACTGACGTGCAATTAACTGATTGCCCCTGGAAGTCAGCTTCTTACAGAAACACAGCTTCCCTATCATCAAATGTCACAGCACGCCACTGAACGAGGGCATTTTCTTTTTTACAAAGTATCCTCATCTCCTGAGCTTTTTTGTTGATCTTCTTCAGGTATATCAGCAACATCTTCATTTTTTTACTCTTTACCATAAATTTTTTTTATGTATGATAAAATAAAAATATATTATTAATCAAAAATTTGTTTTAGTGGGTCATGCTTGTTCAATCAAAGACAGAGTGATTTTTTCCAGAATTTTTGTTGGAATACCAAATTGTTCAATTTGGAAACAGTTCAAGTAAGAGATCCTGCTGTATTTCATTCATTATTTTTATGAATAATTACTTATTTACAGTTAAAAAACCTAAAAATGTTTAAATAAACTTTGTATTAAATATGAAGATTAATCTATAAAAACAAAACACAGTGACAGTCTTAAAGAATAAAATCTGAAAGCAACAACAATGGCACTTGATTGATAGGAAAGCTAGGACAAGGAAGAAAAAAATTGAACTGACAGTTTTCATTAAACCTGATGAATGGCACAAAACAAATTGAAAATTTCAATATTCTAAAATACATGGGCAAATTTGAGATAATACACATACTTATCTGAATAAAAAAATATCAAATAAAGGAGTTTGTACTTAAAAGTTGTGAAATTTTGTACAGAGGTTTCCCCAATTTTTGAACTGTGTTAGAGTGAAACCATGTTGTAGAAGTATTGCATTGTATGAGAGATACCTGTATTTGATTTTTTTCATTTAAATATATTTTGGGCTATTTACGTATGTCCTAATTAATTATTTATAACACATAATAACTTAATTTCATATATTTACCAATAGCAAAAAGTAGGATTAGTACTTACTTCTTCATCTTTGAACCAAGATATAGATTCTGATGTTAGTACAAACCAATAATCTCTCGAACCACCTTTCATTATCCCGAGATTATGAATACACATCCAACCTTTACGAATAACCTGAAACAAAATAATTAAAACATAAATCACCAATCTTACATTTTTAACTAAGAATACACAAATATTAAATTATCTTTATGTACAGTACCTAATTCTCTGTATATGAGAAATAATAAAATATATCTACTGCAATTATGGCTTTTTTTACTTTTCACCAAAAAATATGACTATTTTAACAAGGGGTAAATGCATTTAATTTGAATAATATTGTTTAAATTTATAGACGAAAATACTGAAAAACTTCCAAGGAAATGAAAGCCTACAATTTACTATTTAAGCAGATATTTTTATTAAAAAAATCACACACATTGTGACATAAAAATGTAAACTTCATACAGTTTCATTGTATAAATTTATGGTTGAATGATTTCATTATAAAATATAAAATTAATCCAATAGGAAAAACAATCTCTCATACGAATGTTTCTTTTTCTTAATTCAAAAGTAAAATATATTATACAATATAAAGGCACATCAGTTAATTTTTCAGAATTAAATCTCAATGAGTAGTAGTCTGGAAACTATTTTGAATACTCTATATTCTAATAAATAAGTTGGAGGAAAAATTAAAATATGAGGGGGACCCAAAAAAACTGAACTGAGAGCATGTTGCCATTTGTAGACGTAGTAGAGAGTTCTCCCGTTACATGGGGTTAGTAGAGACCTTCACAAAACAGCTGCGCAAATAGCGTCAGTTTGTAGGTTTACGTTTGAGTGTAGTGTTGTGTTTCTCTTACTGTTATTTTGTTCCGCCTGCGAAGTTCTGGGTGTCCTTCAACATCTCAAAACGATGAAAACGTTGAAAAAATCCACCAAAAAAGTGTTAAGATGTCTGCGAGAGGATGTGTGAATGAAATGCCCGGAACTTTGGCGATTAGGTGACTAGTTCCTTCATCATGACAATGCCCCTGCACACACGGCCTTACGAGTGACCCACTATTTGGCCTCTCGGGGATGGCCTGTTGTTCCCCATCCTCTGTATTCACCAAAGCCAGCCCTGCGCGACTTTTTTCTGTTTCCGAGAATGAAGAAAAATCTAAAAGGGAAGCATTTTTATGATGTGGAGGCTGTAAAAACAGCTTCGCTAAGGGCACTGGATGATATCAAGGTTGAAGAGTTCCAGAGATGCTTCAAACAGTGGGGAAAAAGACTTGACAAGTGCATCGCATCTAATGGAGAGTACTTTGAAGGTAACTGAAGGAATTTTGTAAAAAAGTTAATAAATAAAGTTTTTATACAAAAAATCTGGTTTCTTTTAGATCCCCCACATACACTAAAATAAAAAGTAATACATTTAAGTATTATGAGAAAATAAAACAATCATTCATATTATTAAATACGACGGGTGTTCAAAAAGTATCAGACCTTTATTTTTCCCGCGTAAACCAATGATGCACGGGAGGTCTCTTTCGGTGGAGTTGTGGAGGGGACAGTCATGCACAGTCCTGAAATTTTTCCAGTTGCTGGCAGTCGACCTATGAGTGAGGACGTGTAGTGAGCGCTCGTCTGATTCCACTAAGTTGGAAAATGACTGAACAATGTGAGCAGCAATATTGCATCAAATTTTGCCAAAAGCTTGGTGATACCCAAGCAGAAACCATTTGCAAGATTCAGCAGGCTTTCGGGGATGATCCTCGAGGCCAAAAAAAGCGCAGCAGATCTGCAGCAATGTCAAGGTCATGTTGACAGTTTTTTTTCAACTCCCGTGGGGTGGTGTATTGTGAGTATGCACCACAAGGCCAAACCATTGCAAAGGAGTACTACCAGGACGTCCTTCATCGTCTTTGTGATGCTGTGTGAAGCAAACGACCGAATCTGTGGTCAACCAGAACTTGGCAGCTCCATCATGATAATGCACCCACCCATTCTGCGCATCTGATTTGGACTTTCATCGCCAAACACAACATTTCTGTGGTTTGTCACGCTACGTACTCTCCTGACATGGTTCCGTGAGACTTTTGGCTATTTCCCAAGCTGAAAATGCCGCTAAAAGGAATCCGATTTTAGTCAAGAGAAGACATCATGCGGAATGCGACGGACCGGCTAATAGCCATTCCAAAAGATGCATTCCAGCAGTGTTTCCAGCAATGGCAGGAGCGCTGGGAGAAGTATATACATTACCAAGGAGACTACTTTGAAGGGGATTAGGGTTTTGTACTTCAAAATCAATAAATGTATTTTTGCCGACCAAAGGTCCGATACTTTTTGAACACCCCTCGTACTTTCTTAATATTTAAATGCAGAGTGTTAAATATTTGCGATATAGTAAAATAAATAATAATAACATTTAAAATGCTTATCCATAAAAACAAAATAAAAGACAAAGAAAAAATAAACAAAAAAAAAAAATCAAACTTTACCTAATACTAATAAAAGTCTCAATTTTTCTTCTCAAAAAATAAATACAGGTAAAGATTTTATATTATTTGTCAGTGTGTAAGAATGCAAGTATGTATGTGTAAGAGCAAGTGTGTTTATGTTCACATACATGCATACACATATGAAACCTATAAATTTAAAAACCATTTCAAGAATGAAATACATTTTATTTAGGATCAAATACTTTAACTTTAAACAGGAAGCACTTGACCTAAATACTATGAATAGATATATAACTTCTGAACAGAGTCATTACAAACAGTGGACACACTAAAATGTTTGTATACTGGAATTACACAGTACTGAATATTTTTTCTGGCCTGGCAGGTTTATCTTGAACAGGTTTTTTAAAACATAGAAAATCACATTGTTCAAAATAATTTTACCCATTAGGCAGGCTTCCATTTTATTCATGTTCTGTTTTGGACAGGTTTTACTGTATATGTAATGGTATCACAAACTACAAAAGTATATTTTTTAATTAAAGCACCAATCACTTGCATTTATTAATAATATAAGATTACTATATTATAATTATATTGCATTCAGTTTTAAGAAAAATCATCATTGTAATACAGGCTTAACAAAACTTACGCAAATGAAATATAAAATAGGAATGATAATTGACAGTTTAATTCAATTGATCAATCAAAATGTTTGCTGCTAAAAGTGTATTTTTGCATATATATATACACTAATACCTCGACTTATGCGAACCCGGAGTTACGCGATTTTCAAATCTTGTCGATTTGTCTTTTGTTTGAGCGCCACGTAACTCTTGATTACTCACTTCCCCCACACTATTGTTCAGCTTACATGTTTGGACGTGTCGCACAGAATTGGCACATAACTACAATTTATTTTGTGTTATTAATTTCTGTGTTATTATATCTATGGAGACTTGAGAGAATCTATATGGTGATTTCTTGTAACCGTGAATGAATCAAAAGACAAGATAAGATTAACGAGAACATTTATTAGCTTACATACATCTGACTTGGATTTTACCCAAACTGCAAAATTATACCCCGACTTACGCGAATTCGACTTAGGCAGTTATTGCTTGGTCCCACCTATAGTGCAAGTTTGGGGTATTACTGTATATATATATATATATTCACATTAGTTACATAAAATATCTATTACTGATCAACAAAGTCTCTTAGTTGTCAACAGAAATAAATTGGAACAGTTAAGTTTCTATATAAATCATTGGGGAAACTCATCCACATTCAGTGTTTTCAAAATAATCATGATCTAAAGATAACGCTAATTTCATAAATTACTAAAACAAACTTAATAATTGGTTACTGATATTGGTTTCAATTGGAGGATTAAAAATAATTGAACCTGGTATTATCTTACTATTTAATTCATTTTTCATACTAATTGTTTTATACAACTGCTTTGAATTATATAATGCAGAAAGGGCCAAACGTTAATGAGCATTATGTAACCAAACAGATTACAGTTGTCCCTCTATAGTCCGACATTTTTTAATCCGACATGCTCAGTAGTCCGACGCACCTCCCGTCAAGGTACCCATCCCCATTACGTGTCTGCTTGCACAGAAGCATGTTGCGATGTGAATCTCCCCATCCAATTCTTACTCGATGACACACATTTTGTGTGTTTTATGTGAGCAGTTCTGTTCGAACAGTTGGAGTAGAGAATATTGTAAGTTACTGCTAGCAAAACAATGCGAAATATGTAATTATTTTCGGTAATCCGGACACTTTTGGTAATCTGACACACCTTTGGTCCCATACCTGTCGGATTATCAAGGGACAACTGTATTTACAATAATCTGTTTGGTTACATAATGCTCATTATTGTTGTCATGATTATTGTAAATAATTTGCTGCAATATACATAAGGAAGCTACAAGTAATACATGTTTTTAAACAGTTCATAAATAATGAGAGTAGTTTTCAACAATAATAATATACACACAAACAATACCATTTATAAAAAATTTAAAGATAATTGAACTGAAAATGAAAGCACATCATCAGTAAATGAATTACTTTTATTTCATTTACGAGAAGAATAGAAAAAGATTAAGCTATAATTCAACTCAATTTCTGATCATTTCTAGGTTAAATATAAATCTTGAAATAAGACTGATACATCAAAAGAAAAAAGTTTTACCTGATTTCCAAGTTTTCTCTTGCCAGTTGTTGCTTCTGCTGTTTGTTGAGCACTATAAACAAAAAAAATCATAAATTAAAAAAATTTAATATTCAAAACAAAATCTAGTACTAAACTGAATCACTGATTTAAGTTAACTCATCACTGCAAGTATCACCTACTTGCAGAGGTACTATGGAGGATACTTGCAGTAATGGTCAAGTTAAGAGTGTATCATGTATATTCTGTTCATATGTTGGCATACATGACTAAATAAAGCCAAATAATCAGTCATATTGATTGAACAACTACAATGTTCCTTTGAAACAATAATATTAGTTGTAATTGTACTATAGTTGTTCAATCAATATAGTTGATTTATCTAACACAAAGTAAATAAAAATTTGTTTATAGTATTTTTCTAATTTTTAGAATGAAGTGCTCCATTATATTGAAGTTTTATGAAATATAGAAGTATCATGAAGAAAAATATTATTTGAAACTACAAATTATTATTTTTTTGATGTAACAACTTGAATGAGATGTCACTAGATAAAATAACAAACTGCTAATAAATATCTATGTCAAAGGCAACACTTAAGTTTTCTTAGAAATATACAAATCATATGGTTCTAAATAATTGAGGTGAAGCATTAGTGAAGCCTCTTCTATGTGGTTTACAGAATTCTGTTTGTTTTCAAAATCTGTTTGATTGCTTTTGATTAAACTTTACCATTTTCCATTAATTGTGATAAAGAATCCAAAAATGTAATAAAAAGTGGGGATCTATAACTTTATTTTTGAGATATAAGGTTGTAGCCCGAGCACGCACAACAAAGCAATATCGCACAAATCATACAACTTTGTCATTGCATGGTTGATAGCATGCCTTCCATGAGCTTATAGAAATTGAGTTTGTTGTCAAAGCTAATTTTGATAAAACTTTGCCATTTTTCCATTAATTGTGACAAGGAATTTAAAAATGTAATGAGAGTCCAAAAATGAACAAAACATAAGAACAAAGCAATCGCCATTGATTGCTTTGTTCTTGGATTGCCTCGCCATTTTGATAAGTGCAAGGATCCTCTCTCTCTCATGATCAGCAGGTGCAAGGATAGTCTCTTTTGTGCCTAGCAAGTGCAGGAATTGTTTCTTTCTTTCCAGCTCCATTTCAATTCTATAACAATATGACAAAATCATGCAATGTCCTAGTTATATTGTTATGTACAGTACAATCTATATCTTTCAATTGGTTAGTTGCACATGCTTAGAAAAATCAGTTTAGCATGCAATTCTATTTAATAAACTCCTGCTTTAATACATTTAGTAAATAATGCACAAAAACTTTCAACTAATAACTATCAAAGAACAAACCACATTCAACATTGTCATTAATTAGTCAGAACACTTTACTTGAATATTATATTTCTATGAATAGTATATGACTATTTACCCACCAAAAATTTATATAAAATTCATTAACATGTAAATAAGAACATTTGAGTAAGTTTTAAAAATCCTACAATGATATATTATGCAAAATATCACTTCTCTAGATATGTGCATTGTCCTATAAGGCTGACAAGTTAGAAAGATATATTATGCCTTTTCTAGACACTTTAAAAAGTAATAACATTGTAACCTTTCTGATACTCTAGAAATTTTCTAAATAGAAGATTGCTAATTTAAATATTAACAAACAATTAATTATTAAATCAACTAAATAAATTAATTGCTACTAAGAAGTCTCACTTTCAAACTTTTCAATTGGACTGTTCCTATAAATCATTAGCATTCATTTTTACAGAATAATCATAATATAGTTTGATTAATTAGTCAATAAATCAATTAAAATAAGATATTAAAGAATGATTATGGATATTAAACCCATAAAAAAAAATTGCATCAATCATACAATAAATATAACAATCAAACTAGTCTCTTGCTATCATATGTGTTTCATTCATTTGCATTTTTTGTAGCCTGTGATGTTACTATTTAAATATTTGATTATGATTAAGTTTGATCAAGTAAATTTAAAACATAACACTTTAAAAATTATACTAATGTAATAAAAAAAATTTGTGTAAATATTTACATGGGACTCAATTTTATTATTCAATTATATTACATGACTCAATTATATATAGTTATTTTTTATTCAATTTTTAAATTTATAATCTCATTTTTTTATTTTTTAAAATAATATTCACAAATTAAAAAATATTTTGTAGTTATAAGTTATTTTCACCAAAAATTTTTTAAGTTAATAAACATATGTCATAAATAAAATTATTGAGCTCTTCAGATGCAGACTGTTTCAAAAATCCCTTTACTCAAAGTTTGTGAATTTTTTTACAGAAATTGGAGCACCCTCTATGAAGCACTGATGTTAGAAGCATGAATATAACAACATTGGAGAATTCTCCTAAGCCCATGCACGTGACTTTGATTTACTATTGCAATACATAGTGAGAAATCATATGTTTCTGACAGACAGTGTAGGATGTCTTAAAACTGGCAGATTGTGCTACTTGAAGAATATTTTAAATATTTTCACTGCTGGTTTCAGCAAAACAGAGTGACATGTCACACAGCAACAGAAACTATGGCCACACTATACAATTTTTTTGGGAACCATCTCATCTCCAAAAATTTGTGGTCACCTTGCTTGCCAGACTTAACACCATCCAATTTCTTTCTGTGGAGCTATTTGAAGAATCAAGTTTACAAGAAAAACCTCCACACATTGAATGAGCTGAAAATAAACTTTTAAGTGGCCATAAATTAAATTTCTCTGCAAGTGCCATGACATGTAGCACAGAATATGTACTGCCATGTGACCATGTACCACAGGTTGGAGATGGCACTTCCAGCATATGTTGTTAAAGTGTGTAAATACTTTTATGTGTATACTGAAGTTTTATAAACAATTAAAATTTATGTACTTGTAATCTGGCTCTTGTAATTATTTTTAAAACTGAGTAAAAGGTGTTTTGAGGCATCCTGTAATATACACCACACACCTCCAAACTGAATATTAAAAGTATGACAATTGAATGTAATTTGGAAAGTATATATGTTAGGCTCAAAGACCGAAATCACTCAATGAGCAAAAAAACCTACAACAACACATGGTAGTTTCAAAACGGCCACAAAGCAAAATTCGCATTGTGTTGTAAAAACGGCCACAACGCATTGTGGCTAAGTCAAAATGACCACAAAGCAAAATTCATGTCGTGGCTTTCATGATATTTGACCACTACGTGTTGTAGTGATTAAGAAAAGTCATAACACATTCTGAACGTTAGCTGATGCAACCACAATATAGGATCATATGACGCACAGTGGTTTGTAACTTTAAAATATGGATTCTAGGCTCAAAACATTTTTATTTACAATTTTTAATGCTGAACAACATTAGTTTTACAAGTTTTCCTAGTAATTTAATTTTCATACATCAAAAAATTCCAAAGAAATAAAATATATGAAGAAAAATACACATTTGTTTCTTTTATTTTGCTAAAAAGTGCTAAAGGTCTAACTACATATACTTGTAGGTGCTTGATATACTATACACGATAAAATAAAAATCAGCTGCTAAAGTTAAAAACCACTGTGCGATGGATTTATTATGGTTAAAAGCCACCACACAATTTGGACATTAACTGATAACGAGGTGATGATAAGAAAATAAACCTTTCTTTTTCATTATGATTTATTTATCTTCAATCATCTTATATAAGCAGGTAACAAAATTATTCACCACATACAGAAATTTAACTTGGTTACTTTACAACATTTAATTATTCATGCATTTTATGTTCTTTGAGCAACATTTGCATTTTTATCAATACAGTATATTTTACAGTGACACATTATAAACCCTTGCTTACTTCCAGATGTTAACATGGATGCTGAGCAAAGTGTTAATAAAGTTGAGGGTATGTCCTGAATGTTAATAAAGTTACTGTAGAAATTGTAAATTCATTACGAGCATAAAGTCGATCAAGAAGACTTTCCTTGTTTCCTAACTGATAGAGACCTAATGGATTAATGTTCATATCAACAGCTAAACATTTCTGGGAGCTGCACATCTCCTATCAACATCAGGCATTCTAACTAAAATATTCAAACCAATTTCAACTGCAGAAAATTACCCTAAATTGAGAAAACTCTCCGAGCTCCAACTCAAGCTTGAATAAAAAAAATAAGACAAACTATTCTATTACGCAGATCCCTGTACTATTATTGTGAAATAATATTCAGAACAATTCTTAATTCATTGTTTTTGAAAATTTTAATAACTAAAATGTCTTAGGATTTTTAGGCTTTATCAGAGGTATTAATTTCCATCTGATATGGAGAGTGCCAATGGCTCAATGGCATGAAAGTTGAGAAAAGCAAAATCCTACTTGGATGTAACATACAGTAATACCTCGGTTTTTGCTGACTTTGGTTATCATCAGTTTCAGATTTCACTGATTGTTTTCGGATGGATTATTGACGAAAACCGAAGTATCACTGTACAGCAGTGTTTCTCAACCTCTAACGAATCGTTGCCCCCTTCACTTCAAAATTCTGATGCTGAGGGCCAAGGCTAACGCCAAATTCGTACTGCATTGAACAGACTAGTGACTAGTATAATGTTATTTGTTTAATTATTGTATGATATAACAAATAAGATATCTAATTATTCTTAATTTAATACAATGTTTTACTATATCGCCCAGAAAATTGTTTTTTGCCCCCAAAAATATAAATTGTTACTAATCGCCCCTTCAACATGGAAAAACGTCCACATGGGGACAATATCGCCCCCTGTTGAGAAACATTGCTGTACAGTGTACTCCCATGCACCTAGCATCAATCTGCATTATTTCTTTAGCTTATGTTGTCCTATCCTAAAACCTTCCAATTATACAGAAAAACAAAATGGTTTTAGGCTAAAACTTTTTCCAGCAAAACTTGTGGAGTGATGGGTAATAGCATCAGAATACAGAATAGTTTTACCCTAGATTTACCCTAAATATAAGACTACCTGAAACATTACTCTGATAGGTTGAAATTACTCTAGAAAAGGGTAGCTACCATAGAAACAGCAGCACTGGCCAAGAATAAACACAATACAAACTCCGCAAGTGTTTGCAATGTGCCCATTGACAAGTCACAACCTATCCTTCGTATCGTGGTTGCATCAGCTAGCGTTCAGAATGCGTAATGGCTTTTCTTAATCACCACAATGCATAGTGGTCAAATATCATAAAAGCCACGACGCAAATTTTACTTTGTGGTCATTTTGAGTTAGCCACAACGCGTTGTGGCCATTTTTACAACTGCCATGATGCAAATTTCGCTTTGTGCCCTTTTTTCATTCAATGAGCAATTTTGGTCTTTGAGCCTAACATATAGACCCAAATGTTGTTTTTCTCTGTTTCTTTTGGTTTATTTCTAATGGTATTTGAGACTGTAGATGTAAAAAATAAAATATTTGAGATAGAACTGCCTAAACTGCACAAGTGTCAAAAATACAGAATGACTGCTAAACAATATAATATGTTAAAACATTATGTGAATAATGGACTGAGGGAGGTAGAGCACCAAGCTTCTCCCCACTTACTGGCTTCTTTGTCAGTGATGGTCGGTGTGGTAAATGAGTAGGAGGGTGAGCGAGGTTGTGACAAGGTGTCAGTCGTACTTAAGGATGACACATATTTAGATATAAGAATAACATATTTAATTAACTATAAAGCTATACAAAATGAGTACAAATCAAAGGCTACAAAAAGGGAATAATCCAAAAATACTTCTATATCGTGACAAAGATATACGGTCGTCAATAAGTCGTCTAAATTCTGGGCCTTTATAAGTCCCAATATTCTCTTAAGTTCATCTAACCTAAGTCTAGTCTATAACTAAGACCAGAGAAAGATGAGAGAGAGAGAGAGAGAGAGAGAGAGAGAGAGAGAGAGAGAGAGAGAGAGAGAGAGGGTTAAGAATTTTGCTGTGTGTTTACCTCATGAGTTCCCGGTCTCATTGTATGGCCATTTTGAAAACATCCGGTATCACAGGGGTTCCCCGCAGTTGAGAGACAGACGGTGATTATGGTGGGAAGGCAAGGGTGGCAGTGGACGGAATGGTGGTATGGTCTGGTGTCCTGGGTAATGTCTGCTGTTGATGTCCCTTGATGCTGTCTGCTGTGGACGTCCGCCCAGAGGACTGTATTCAAGCTCTTTTTATACACGTCCAGAGGGGCTGACTAATACTAAGTCTGCTGCAATCCCAGCTAAGGTTGACTTATGTCCAGGATTTGTTTAGGTTAATTGTCAGAAATCGAAACCTTTCTGTAGATTTATTACTTCTTCTATCCAGTATTGTCACTCTTTCCATCTCATAAATTTGATAACAGCTGTCAAAACAACTGAAGTAATTACTGAAGGTGACTAAGGTCAGAGTTAGTCTTGCACCTTAGTAATAATTGTTCCTTATATGCTCATCTAGATTGGCTTTATCGTTCGTAACATCGTATGACATAGGAAGTGTGTGGGTTGAATTTTTCTCTTTCCCCTCAGGAAGAATTAAAAGTCACTTCTCCAAGTGACAAAAAATTGAATTGATGCAAAAATAATGATGAGAAAAAAATGATCGAACTGTCAAAATTCAGACACGAGCTTGAATTCTCGCAATTATAACTATAACAATATGCTGTTAAAATACTCATTTACAAACAAGATTTTAACAAACATTATAAATACATTTCCCTATTGTATAAATGAAGTACATTGTAAAAGTTCTGGATTCAAAATTCATAGCTGCTATAATAACAATCATGCATAGTTCATTTTAGACAGTTTTTCCAAACTTAATTTTTACTCTGAACAACTTTTTTAAATTACTTGCTAGCTGGATGAGTAAAAAGTTAAGGCATTAGCCTGCTATTCTGAGGAATGTGAATTTGAATCTGGGACAGATTCTCTCAAACTTTCATGGGTATTCTCAAATTCTCATTTGAATACGATGACTCGTCCATCATCTGCATTTCCCATTGTGGACCAGATCAAATCCTTGATGGGTCTATTCGGATAACTGACGTTTCGGTTATCCGAAACGTCAGTTATCCGAAAGAATTCCAGTCAGTAAATTTAAATTTTCACTAGTGCTGTGGCGCTGCAATCTTTGGCTATATCTTGGGCTACTCCAATATTTTTTTTGTTGGTGTGTGTGTTTTAGCTGGTAGCACTAGCACTTTTGTGTGGTGTTTTTCTGAGGACTGTGTGTTATGCTGAATCGAATGTTTTTGATACTAGATTAACTTCTAAAGTATAATTTTTTTTAAAAATATTTTTCAATATATTTATTTTGTTTGTAAAAAATAAAGAAATAATTTTTAACGATACAATAGCCACGATTATTATTTTAAAAAGTTTACGTTAGGCTTAACATCGACGAAAATTCAACACGAAGCGACACGCAATGGAGAAAAATTTCAACATGGGATAGGTTAATATATTTTTTCATACATAATTGGTTATCCGAACAACCCCAGTCCCCAATTGATTCGAATAAATGACGCTCTACTGTATATAGGTACAGTAGAATCTCATTTTAACGGATTGCAGAACAACGGGTTTTTCAGAATAATAAATTTTTTTCTAACTCCATCTTTGGTAAAAACTGTATTTGTTTTTTTTTTTTCAATCTTTAATTAATAACTGGATGTTTCTGGATACTAAATTAAAAAAAAAAAAAATACATTGCACGTCGTGCAAACTAAGCGCATAATCATCATGATTCTCACTGCTAACATTGCAGCCAAATTTAGTGTCCTCCTGCAGTGTGTTGATTAGTGGAGGGAAACTACTTCCAGCTTAACACTTCCAGATATGCATGTATATGAAACAAAGATGGACTGCACCTTTGTTACAGGCATGTGTTTGGGAATATTACCCAAGTGTAGTGCCAAAATTTAGCAACGTCATCAAGTCTTTCCACGTCATGAAGACCTTCCTGATGAGTTTTAATATAAACGAACAGGCTGTACATAACATTGCTAATATCGAGCACTTGTTATACTCAATGGGCAGTAATGAGTCATCAAAGCAAACAACAATGAACATATTTTTTAACTTATTGTGAAGTGCTAATGATCATACATACATATTTTGTTGCTTTTTGGCTTATACAGTTTCTATCAGCTTTGTTATGGCATAATGTATGATCTTATAATATATGTGTTTATATAAAATAAAGATTAAAAATCTCAAGACACTGAATAATTTTGAGTACAGGTGTTTTTTATGTAGGTGTTTAAAAAACGAAATTTTTTTTGAATAATGGGTATTTTCCTTGAAGTGCGAGAAATCCATTGTTCACAATATAATGGATTTTCGAAACAACGGATAATTTTCGGCACCCCAACTGATCCATTAAAATGAGATTCTACTGTATATATATAAAACAGAAAACATCAATAACAATACAAAAAATGTTTCTTCCCTACAATAAACAGCCATGTGATCGCTGATCATCACTTAACACGTATAAATAACAATGTTTTAATTTCTTTGATTTATTGGACAGTGGTTCTCAATATCACTCATGTCACATACCCCTAAAACTCTCACACCATGATGGACCATGAATCCTTGCAGTGGTCCGCCAACCACCGGTTGAAAAACATGATTATTGGGTGACCTGTATATGTAATTAAATAAATTACACAAGAGAAAAAAATTGACCTACTGTGACTTATTTCCCCTTACAGTGAGAGTGAACTTATTAACATAAAAAAATTAGCATATAATAACAACATATTTTTATATTAATTATAAAATATTAATATTTAACAACATAATTTTTGCATAAACTTTAGTTATGGTTTTCACATTATTATTTTCGTTGCCCTTATTTTTTTACATATTAAAAACATCCAAACTTACAATATTCATATTTTTTGTAAATAATGTTTATAAGAATGTAAAAAAAAAATTGGTACAGTTCAATATATACCAATTCTAAATTACCTTAATTAAAAAAATTATTTTCAATTAAACTCACTTTGTAAAACCTATGAAGTCTTCATGATTAGTATTCATATATGCCAACTCAGTTTCAACTAATAAACTGATTTGAGCTTTTGTTTGTTGTTCTTTCTGTCGAATGTGACTGGTGATAATTCTTTCTGTTTCTTCTCTTAAAGATGGATAACTGTTCATCTAACCATAAATATGTTTATGTTAGTTCAATTTTAACATGCAAACATGAGTATTAAGTTATGGAAGTGCTATATATAATTTCAATTAAAGTAATGAAATTATTTATAAACTTCATGCAATTAATAACCCTTAAGTGACAAGAAAAAAACTGATGAATTGGCAAGGTCCTAAATTCTGTAATAGTATATACTAATGCATCAGACATCACAAGTTATTTTAATTTTATGACTTTTCACAATGCACATTTTTAACAAAAAAATACACAGTACTTAAACTTCCCAAAACGATTTTGACTATTACTAGCTAAATTTTTTATAGCTTAAAAACTTTTAGGGTCACTAATCTAAAGAATAAGCTATACTTGTTGAATGAATTACTTTGACTTGGCAGTTAGCTATAAATTTTTTTAGATGAAAAATTCTTACTGCACAGATATGTCATGAAAGCAATGATAAAAAAAGATGGATGAATGAAATATAGTACAGCATTGATTATCTGACCCCCGATTAACCGTCACATCGGTTAACCGACCGTGTTCTAGTCGGCAAATTCAAATGTCTGCTAGTGATGCAGCGCTACAATATTTGGCTATGTCTTGGCTACTTTAATATTATTTTTGTTAAATTTTTGTGTGTTTTAGCTGGCAACACTGGCTTGATCATGAAAGGGAGGCCAATATTTAAACGAGGCTTAATTTTCTAATTATGAGTGGTTGTTTGTTTCGTGGGCAATAAAATAATTTTAAAATAATTTTTAACGATACAATAGCGACAATTATTATTTTAAAAAAAATTTTGTTAGGCTTAACATCTATGAAAATTCAACGCAAAGTAGGTTAATAGTGATATACTAATTATATGGGACATACTAATATACTATACTAATAGTGAGTTTTTTCATACTTTTCGGTTATCCGTTTTTTCAGTTATCCGACCAACACCAGTCCCCAATTAAATTGGATAATCGATGCTCTACTGTATAAGCAAGTAAAGGTGTGTTATAAATGGAGTGTAGATGGAAATAAATAGGAGGCTTGGTAGATACTATAGTCAAACCCTATGCATGTATCAAGGTTTCTAGGATAGCCAGATTGGTTTAAATAGTTGTTTCTATTTAAGTTTTTACATGTTTTGTGGAAAAATTATTACTTTTTACAATGTTTGCAAAATCATTGAAACATTATTTATAACCCTAATTATAATAATTATCACCTGCACATCGAATTTAACTAAATAACACATACCTCATAAAAACCTTTAACCGATGCGAAATAAAATTTAACAGTACAAACGTTTTCAGATCCCTCCTGTGTCCTTCTTCAGGTAAAAATCGTTTGAAAATTTACTAAATACGAAAAATATTCATTTGGAACGATTTTTTAAAAATCGAAAAGATAGAATGGAATCACGTGACCTATAGCTCTGAATGTCAAAGTTTCTACGTCATATCGACAGTTATTTAAATATTTTCCATCTTTTTTAAAGATTTTATGAATAACTTTGTTGTTAAGCCTAAAAAAACATATCACATAGTCTCAGACAACCCATTTACTTCCTTTCTTTTAGGTTTACGATTCATGGCAGGCCCTAATACAACAGGAGGTTTAAGTGAATCGTAAACCTAAAAGAAAGGAAGTAAATGGGTTGTCTGAGACTATGTGATATGTTTTTTTAGGCTTAACAACAAAGTTATTCATAAAATCTTTAAAAAAGATGGAAAATATTTAAATAACTGTCGATATGACGTAGAAACTTTGACATTCAGAGCTATAGGTCACGTGATTCCATTCTATCTTTTCGATTTTTAAAAAATCGTTCCAAATGAATATTTTTCGTATTTAGTAAATTTTCAAACGATTTTTACCTGAAGAAGGACACAGGAGGGATCTGAAAACGTTTGTACTGTTAAATTTTATTTCGCATCGGTTAAAGGTTTTTATGAGGTATGTGTTATTTAGTTAAATTCGATGTGCAGGTGATAATTATTATAATTAGGGTTATAAATAATGTTTCAATGATTTTGCAAACATTGTAAAAAGTAATAATTTTTCCACAAAACATGTAAAAACTTAAATAGAAACAACTATTTAAACCAATCTGGCTATCCTAGAAACCTTGATACATGCATAGGGTTTGACTATAGTATCTACCAAGCCTCCTATTTATTTCCATCTACACTCCATTTATAACACACCTTTACTTGCTTATACAGTAGAGCATCGATTATCCAATTTAATTGGGGACTGGTGTTGGTCGGATAACTGAAAAAACGGATAACCGAAAAGTATGAAAAAACTCACTATTAGTATAGTATATTAGTATGTCCCATATAATTAGTATATCACTATTAACCTACTTTGCGTTGAATTTTCATAGATGTTAAGCCTAACAAAATTTTTTTTAAAATAATAATTGTCGCTATTGTATCGTTAAAAATTATTTTAAAATTATTTTATTGCCCACGAAACAAACAACCACTCATAATTAGAAAATTAAGCCTCGTTTAAATATTGGCCTCCCTTTCATGATCAAGCCAGTGTTGCCAGCTAAAACACACAAAAATTTAACAAAAATAATATTAAAGTAGCCAAGACATAGCCAAATATTGTAGCGCTGCATCACTAGCAGACATTTGAATTTGCCGACTAGAACACGGTCGGTTAACCGATGTGACGGTTAATCGGGGGTCAGATAATCAATGCTGTACTATATTTCATTCATCCATCTTTTTTTATCATTGCTTTCATGACATATCTGTGCAGTAAGAATTTTTCATCTAAAAAAATTTATAGCTAACTGCCAAGTCAAAGTAATTCATTCAACAAGTATAGCTTATTCTTTAGATTAGTGACCCTAAAAGTTTTTAAGCTATAAAAAACTTAGCTAGTAATAGTCAAAATCGTTTTGGGAAGTTTAAGTACTGTGTATTTTTTTGTTAAAAATGTGCATTGTGAAAAGTCATAAAATTAAAATAACTTGTGATGTCTGATGCATTAGTATATACTATTACAGAATTTAGGACCTTGCCAATTCATCAGTTTTTTTCTTGTCACTTAAGGGTTATTAATTGCATGAAGTTTATAAATAATTTCATTACTTTAATTGAAATTATATATAGCACTTCCATAACTTAATACTCATGTTTGCATGTTAAAATTGAACTAACATAAACATATTTATGGTTAGATGAACAGTTATCCATCTTTAAGAGAAGAAACAGAAAGAATTATCACCAGTCACATTCGACAGAAAGAACAACAAACAAAAGCTCAAATCAGTTTATTAGTTGAAACTGAGTTGGCATATATGAATACTAATCATGAAGACTTCATAGGTTTTACAAAGTGAGTTTAATTGAAAATAATTTTTTTAATTAAGGTAATTTAGAATTGGTATATATTGAACTGTACCAATTTTTTTTTTACATTCTTATAAACATTATTTACAAAAAATATGAATATTGTAAGTTTGGATGTTTTTAATATGTAAAAAAATAAGGGCAACGAAAATAATAATGTGAAAACCATAACTAAAGTTTATGCAAAAATTATGTTGTTAAATATTAATATTTTATAATTAATATAAAAATATGTTGTTATTATATGCTAATTTTTTTATGTTAATAAGTTCACTCTCACTGTAAGGGGAAATAAGTCACAGTAGGTCAATTTTTTTCTCTTGTGTAATTTATTTAATTACATATACAGGTCACCCAATAATCATGTTTTTCAACCGGTGGTTGGCGGACCACTGCAAGGATTCATGGTCCATCATGGTGTGAGAGTTTTAGGGGTATGTGACATGAGTGATATTGAGAACCACTGTCCAATAAATCAAAGAAATTAAAACATTGTTATTTATACGTGTTAAGTGATGATCAGCGATCACATGGCTGTTTATTGTAGGGAAGAAACATTTTTTGTATTGTTATTGATGTTTTCTGTTTTATATATATACAGTAGAATCTCATTTTAATGGATCAGTTGGGGTGCCGAAAATTATCCGTTGTTTCGAAAATCCATTATATTGTGAACAATGGATTTCTCGCACTTCAAGGAAAATACCCATTATTCAAAAAAAATTTCGTTTTTTAAACACCTACATAAAAAACACCTGTACTCAAAATTATTCAGTGTCTTGAGATTTTTAATCTTTATTTTATATAAACACATATATTATAAGATCATACATTATGCCATAACAAAGCTGATAGAAACTGTATAAGCCAAAAAGCAACAAAATATGTATGTATGATCATTAGCACTTCACAATAAGTTAANATAAATCTTCAGCAATGTTTTCAAAATTTGGTTCCCACATTGTTAAATGGAGATTATAATTGTGTACTGATCTTGAAAGTAATGGCTGCGAATTTATAATGTGCAGAACAATACATGAATCTTTCAATTTTTGTAACAAATGTAACGTCTAAATTTGCTAAATATCAAGTACTGCGCATGCATGGTGGGGGTACGATCCAGGTCTCATTATTCCTAATACCAGTAGCCCAGTAAAAACATGAAAAGCCCCAATCTTATCGATCAATAATTATAGAATAGAAAAAAAATTTTTTTCTATTCTAAAATTAATGCTCGGTTAAACCGTAATTTTACCAGACTACAGGTTCACTCGGCACTAATGGCACAAATAGACAGGCAAATCAAGTGGATAAACAAGTTGTTTAGACTGTTAAAAGAGAAATCGATGTTCACACTGGGATATTTTAAAGCAAGTTTTTATTGTTTCTTGTTTCGTGTTAAATTTACAGCAAATTGATTAACATACGACATTTAATTACCCCTTAGATTTATGCTCGTACCCCTGACTGAGAACCACTGATTTATATAAATCTATCTATCTAAAATAAATTATTTCTTAGGAATATTCAAAATATAATATTACTAGCTGTTATCCGCAGCTTTGCCCATGAGGATTTTGCAAGCAAACCCCATTTATAGTCAGTATTTCAATAACCATAGTAATTGTTATATAATACCTACCGCTGAGAATGATGAGAATTGCTGAGAATCAAATGAAATGTTTTCAATTTGATCAATTTTCTGGAATGTTTACAATTGTTCTATAATCGAACCAATATGCAATAACAAATTCGAATTTAAAACAGTTCAAACATTTGGTTAAAAAATCCAAAATATATAAAAATATTTATAACAATGTCTGAAATGTTATCAATTTAATACACCTAAGTACTCGATGAAGACTAAATGTAATTAAAAACAAAAAAATCGCATCTAAAATAGTACAGTAGAAGCCGTTTTTCCAGTTAAGCCTTAATCCTCTCCCCCCACGAGAGAATTTCGAAAAATCCCTTCTTAGTGTGCATTCCCATGGCATACCCTACTAAAACGCAGATAAAAACAAAATATCGCATCTGAAATAGTACAGTAGAAGCTGTTTTTCCAGTTAAGCCTTAATCCTCTCCCTCTCCCCTCTGCCTATGAATTTCGAAAAATCCCTTCTTAGTGTGCATTTCCATGACGTACCCTAACTGTGTATCAAATTTCATTTCTTTAGGTTCAACAATTTGCTCTGGGCAATGATAAATCAGTCATTCAGTCAGGACAAGTAATTTTATATATTTAGATGAAAGGGAATATTAAGATATAGTGTGTCTGAAAAATAACTGACAAATTACAAAAAGCATTTAGACACAGTTGGAACTGCCACTCAAGACATGTTACATAACATTTGGAGAGAGAATGAATATTATCTCACTATTGTGAGAATAATGCACATTGCACATATTGATATTTCCTATAGATGAGAAATCTCAATATATGTCGAAGACTTTAGAGATAAGAAATCTTTTTGAGTTTGCTCACTTCTGAAATAAATGTGAGCTTCTGTAATCTATTAGTTCTGTATTGTATATCCTATAGAATTAAAAATTTTTAATTGAAAAAATTATTTAAAAAAATAGTGCTGATGACTCATTTTATCCTAAACTTCAAGACAGATTCAATATTCAAGTTGAATTATAAAATTTCAAATGCTAAATTCATTATTCAAAAGTCAATTATCAAAAATCCATTCCATCAACTGCAGAATAATATAAAATATTAAAATTGATAAATAAAAAAGATTGTTTTACATCTATAATTAAAGACAACACATGAAATTTGTAAGAGCAGCCTGATATAGAAGCAATGTTGCTCAAGTTAATAATATTTTGGTGTTTGAATTTCATACAGTAGAATCCCTCTAGTCTGCCCTCGGCTAGTCCGTCACTCCGGTTAATCCGATCGTGGTCAGAGTCGAGAAACTTGTCATGACTCGTCGGTGACTCACCGTCTGTGGCGTTTTTCTGTGTTCTTTACAGTATATGTTTTACATTGTGTGTACATGTACAGTTTTGTGTGTGTTTTTAACATGTTAGGAGTGAAACGTAAACACATTACTCTTTCATTAAATGAAAAATTAGCAGTGCTACAAAGACTGGACAAAGGGGAAGATTGTTTATTTTACTTTATTCTGATAATCCGACCTTTTTTGCGTTCCGACCATACCCCCAGTCCCAAAGGTGACAAATTAGAGGGGTTCTACTGTATTTCTTTTTACTATTAAAATGTATTTGATATTCTTTATGGAAAATATGACACCTGATAAATGTTACTAATCAAATGATATGGCTGGATTCTTATTAGGCTACAATATGGCTAATTAATTAATTATTAAGATATCGAGATTAGAGATAAGAGATTAAGGTGACATGTCATGTTAAATTAATTATTAAATTTAACATAAGACAGCAGCTTAATCACCTATTGCTACTCCATATTGCTTGATATCTTAATTAATTAGCCATACTGTAGCCTAATAAGAATTCAACTGTATCATTTGATTATTATTATAAATTGACAGTAAGTTGGATAGCATTTTCCATTTTCCAATATTATCTTAGGTAATCTACTAAAATCTGACAGTGTATATCTCATAAAATACTGTTTTATAGCCTATAATTTTTATCAAAATTTATCAAGAACATTTGAAAGACAGTTTTAATTGGTATGAAAATGATTAGTAATGCCAATTAATAAGTTTTAAAAGTACTCATATAATATTATTTTAGTTATGCAGGATCATGTAAAATTTGTATGCTAATGCAATAAAATTTTTACTGTCATACCTTAATATGTAATATAAATTGTTACATTTAAGTTAAGTGTATTTGCCAATAAAATAGAATTTAAAAATTATTCAAATTTGGATAAATCTAAATCCTTTTGAATTTTATAATTGAATTATGTAGGAAAAAACTTACAAGGAGTTCCCCATACTGACAGTTTTTATCTTTATAAACAGATAAGACTAAGATTTCTAGTAAGTATTCAAACAAATCTAAAGTATTTCTTAGAATAAGAATGGAACCAATGTGTTGTATCTTAAATGTGCATCATTCCACACCAAAGCCAGCAATGAAGCTACAGTGGGAGAAAGCAGTAAAATAGAATAGATAAAAGTTTCAAAAATTCAATCATCATTTAATATCATGTCATGTTGTTTTTTTGTTTTTTATAATTTCAAATTCTTCTTCTATTTGTGTTCTATTTCATAAATGAACATTGGCTTCATTCTTATTCTGAGAAAGACTATAAAAACAATTGTTCTATAATTTATTCTAAATTTCTAATAACAGATTAAACTCTGTTCTAAAAAAGTTAAAAAGTTAGGTTTTAATTAAAATATTTAAAAAAAAATTAAATCATTTTGAATTTAATAAAATTTAAAGAAAACAAATGAAAAATATCAATATAACAACAAATACCAAAGATTATATAATCTATATATTGCAGTAGAACATTTGAAATGTTTAATAAAAATTTATTTTGATATAGTAATAAAGAATATATTATTTCTTTACTTTATATAAAACATATATATTATCTAACTAAGCTTTTACTATTAAACTATGGAAATATGTAATACTTTTTGTAATATGTTAACTAATTTAGAAAAATGTAAATACACAATGTTTTATAAATGAAAGCACAGTGCTATATGTACATTTTTAATGCTATGTGCTTCTCATTGAATGATGCACTTCTGTTACATGTAATATCATGATCATATCTAAGTATAGCAAAGTAACAAATATATCAGTAATATAATAATCACTTCTTAGTTTAATAACAGATGTTCTTGGCAACCATTACATTGATTTATAGCCATAGTTTTAATGATTAAATATTTTTTTATTCATCAAAGCTAAATTTTATTATCTCAAAAAAGTGTATTCAAGATTAAAGATATAACAATATTTGCCTGATCAGCTTCATAAAATAGCAGATTTATTTACTATAATACAATTTTATTTTGTACACAGTAGAGCATCAATTATCAGAAACAATTTTAGACTGGGGTTGTTCAGATAACTGATCATTTACAAAAAAATATATTAAACACAAAACTGTACTATATATAATTTGTATCACACATCTTACAAATACATACCTTACATAAAGTACATTAAAGTAGGCCTACAGTTTAGGTTGACAGGGAGGGAGAGATTGCTGCAGCACCACAGCACTAGCAGAAATTTGAATTTGCTGACTAACATTTTTGGTTGATTGGTATTTGGATAATTGATGCTCCACTGTATATTATTTTTAAAAAATGTTTCTACAACATTATTATTTTAATAGAACAAAAAAAAATATCATCATCATACCTTTTCTGCACATTTTCTGACTACATTACCAAGTTCAGCAACCACCAAATCTACACATTTTAAAGCAGGTTCTTTTAATTTTGATATTTGTTTCTTTACTATGGCTTCAAAGGCCATGTCTGGGGTAAAGAGACCAACTCTATCAAAAATAAAAACTAAAAGTTAATACATAAAATCTTAGAAGAACCCAAGTTTTAATTTCTTAAATTTTATTAAGCCATAAGCAAATCCTAGTAACACTACATTTAACGAAAAGTTATACTAACTCTATATTATACTATATTTGACATTATTAATGGACCCCTTAGTGTTAACAGATTAGAGAAAGTAAAAAGGAGTTATAGTTTTCATTACATTCTCAATGAAATTTATTGGAATATTAAATTCATTCTGTACTTATTATTAACAACAACAACATCAAATAAAAACATAGGAATAAAATAATATATATACAATAAGTACAATATACAAGAAACTACTAACAATTAAGCATCTCTGAGGTTGAACAAATTAAGTGTACAGTACTTTTAATATTAATGACACAATCTCTTATATAAATAAAAAAAATATATATATATAAAATTTTCTAAACTTTTCTGATGCTTTAATAATAAACAATAATAGAGGAGAATAATTAAACTAATCAAAATTTATATACAATATAATTAACAAAGAAACTGACAACAATCTACTTTAAAACTTTACTTACCTTATTCCATGAATATTTCTAATAGCAAATGCAATCTCTCTTCTTAATTCTTTTTCATCAAATTCCATCTAAAAATTTTTGTAAAACAATTAATTTGGTAATTTTATAGTAGTAATAACACTAATTCCAATCAAATTGGCTAGTTCTACATACATTTTATGAAAAACAGTATAATAAAAAATATTTAAAATTATATACAGTATGAAAAAAGCTTACGTAGTTATGAATTATATAATGAATATTGAATCATATTTGATTTCTCTACAACTTCCAACAACTGAATTAATTTTGTTTCTCTTTTTATCTATTTTACTATTATTAAATTTTTTTCATCTACTTTATCACATACAATTGAAAAATGAGATTACAGTAATACCCCGAACTTACGCGATAGGTGAGACCGAGCGATAACCGCGTAAGTCGAATTCGCATAAGTCGGGGTATAATTTCTCATATAAATACATACAAATAATTTTTAATTGGGGCCGGAGACTAATTAAAACAATAATTTAGAAAAAAATGTTTAATAAAATCTTATATAATACATATATATAACAAATTATATTATTATACAATTTTTCACATTTACTTGATTATCACACCATAATTTTAGCATTGTTTCCATCTCAGCGATAATACCGTGACGTTTACGAATGATGCTTGAATTTAAAGATTGAGCATTTTTCACAGCTTCGAGAATTTTTTCTTTACCTTTTATAATTGTTCTCACCGACAATTCCGGTAGATCAAACTTCTTTGCCAATTCACAAATTTTCATTTTTGTATCAAACTCTTCAATAATGGGGTACGTTCGTAAAGTCAAACGAGTTAAACGCGTTAGTAACGAATCGTTCGAAAAGTCTAACGATATAGGAATAACGATGACTTTACGAACATATCCAATGTTAACTTTACATTCAAAAGATAAAGTTTTTCTTTTCTTGTTTGATGCAGAAGAATCAGTTTTACTTCGTTTAGATGACATAGTAGAGTCTCTCAAGTCTCCGTAGATATAACAAACACAGAAATAAATAACACAAAATTAATTGTAGCTATATGTCGATTCCGTGCGACACGTCCGAACATGTAAGATGAACAATAGTGTGGGGGGAATGAGTAATCAAGAGTTGCGTGGCGCTCAAACAAAAGACGAATTGACGAGATTTGAAAATCGCGTAACTCCGGGTTAGCGTAAGTCGGGGTATTACTGTATTTTAATCTTCTTATAAATTTGCAATTATCAGAAAATAAACTAAATAGAAATCAAATATAAAAAAGTCTGACTTTCCTATAAATAATAATAGTAACAACAATATCTCAATGTTATAATACATATTAATATAAAATTTAAGTCACTATAATTATAAGTAAACAATTTGCTTTACAATTCTACAATACCTAAAATCCCAAATCAGGGCAACTCTTTTAAGTGAGAGTAGCAAAATTGTGAAATCTATGATGCAAAATTTTCTCAGGTGCCAAATGAAATTTTTGGGAGTGTATTATTATTATTTGGTGTCTTAAATATTAAGAGAACCAATTCAAATAATAATAATCCACATACATACACATTTTAAAAACATTATAAATTCTTTACTGAAAAATAAAAATGAAATGATAGCAACGATGTTTGTTTCATTTTATTATTAGTTATTATTTACTAAAAAAATTGATAGGATTTGTTTCTTTATTGCATTTTTATTTAATATCACTCTACAATAAAACTGTATTTCAATAACTTAATAGTTAAAATATACAACTCAGCTAAGATGTGAGTTGCATGCCAAAAGTTGGTCACCCATTTTAAATTATTGAATTTTATATGTTTATTTCTAAAACTGAAATTTTATCTTTGAAAACATTCATGAAATCTTATCTTTGAACAACTGAAATCAAACAATTTATCTGAAAATAAATTTCAGTAATTCTGCAAGAAATTCTATTTTATTTTACAGCCTAAATAAATTTCTATATTCTATAGTTTTACAGATCTACAAAAAATCAAAGTGAACACTTTTATGTGAACATTGTAGAGTAATGAGAGTGATTTGTGTAATGATATGAGTGACATTTGAATAGTAGAAAGTCTAGCAAGTGCATGTGTCCAGAACAGTTATCTAGGTCAAAATAGTGAATAAGAAAACAAGTAATGAAACAGTTAGGATCATGAGGACTCTTTTAGAACTTGGGTGGTCCTTCAGACAAGTTCAAAAGAATTGAAAGATGAAAGGACAATGCATTTCCATTGGACAGATTTCAAACAATAAAAATGGTAAGCAGAGAGCATCCAGACAAGGATCAAAGCAAAGCAGTGATGGTCAAAAATGTATCCTATAAAAGGCAACCCTATAGAGACTAAAAACTATATGGTTAGTATGGAGAACACACCAATGGAATCAGAAATGCAATGAAGGTTTGATGTTACTCAACAAGTAACCAATTCCAATCCGAAGAAAATGGGCTTTAAACTTATCAAGAAACCTGCATGCCAAGATCTTTCCAATGTATCCATCCAAGAAAAATACTGCAGATCCTGGCCATTGTACCTCGTGCTGAAGAAAAATAAGTGGTAAGTTTACCACAACTGACAAAGCTTGGTTCTATCTCACTAAATCTCAAGGCAAGAAGAAGGGATACTACATTAACAGGAGCCAAAATCGTTCTGAAGCACCACCATCAACTTCAGCATCTCATTTGCAAAAAGTTATGGTTTGAGCCAGAAATTCAGCAAAGGGAACAACAAAGCCAAATTTTATGGACACAAAAGTATCATCAAAATACATCAAGAAGATTCTTTGTGCTTTCTTCCAGTCAGATGACAAGAGGCTGTTTCTGAATGGTGAATTTGTATTTCATCAGGACTCTGTGCCTTCACAAACAGCAAAGGCTACAATTCCATTTGTATAGGAAAATAAAATTTCATTTATCGAACTCTCACAATAGTTGCCAAACCGTCCTGAAACTGCTCCCTGTGATTATTTCTTCTGGGGCTAAAGACTTGAAAGAAAGAGTAAAGAAATGAAATGTGTGCACATTAAATGGATTAAAACATTTTGGAAAGAAATTACAAAAGTCCCCAAGTGATAATAAATAAGGCTCTAAAGGCTTGGCCACAGAGTGAGGAGTATATATTATGCAAAAGGTAAACATGTTGAGAAACTCAAATGTAAGATTTATAGCAAAATAAAAGTGTTTATTTTGATTTTTTGTAGACCTGTATAACAAATCTTTGATTTAAAGGATTAATAAAACTATCATTTATCTAAAACAAGAGTTTTAGTGTTTACTTGGGGACCATCTTTGATAGGAATTGCAAAATAAATAGAGTGATTGAAAGATGAGTGAATGCTTGTATGAAAATATTTAATGAACAGGGCAATACAGGGCAACTGATTTGTAAGAATGTGCTTTTGAAGAAGGCAAGTATAGCTGTGTACAAGAATGTAGTCCTTCTAATTCTTTTGTAGGGTTATGAGGTGTGTGGGTGTGGAAAACAAAGCTTAAAAGCAAGTGATTGCAGCTGAGATGAGATGTCTGAGGTGTATATGTGTGACAAGAAGAGATCTGGTGAATAATAAAGACATGTTTTTTCAGTGTGGTATAAGAGATTGAAATTGAGAAGGTACATACATCAAGGGTATCTGCATTGATTTGGTCACATGGAGAGAATGTCAACAAAAGGGGTGTATAAGAAGTTATAGATAAGAAGGGTGGAGGGAAGTAGAGGGTGTGAAAACCAAGGAAAAGATGGGCTGAGCAAGTGAAAGTGTGTCTGAAAGAGAAACAGATTCTAAATGAAAGAAGGCACTAAATGTGTGTGAAAAGAATCACAAATGTGGAATAAGTGAGAGGTATGAATGGATAGACAGAAATGGCTAAAGGTTGTCAAGTATTGATGTGGTGCATGATTTCAGCAAGTCCCAGGATGAAAGAGTGGGTGAGTGTTCCTGGTGTGCTATGCTCTGCCTATGTCTTGTGTTTCAGAGAACTGAAACTTGCAGAGTGTAATGTATGGGAAATCCCCTTTTTTCTTGGTCACCCCTTTAGGGAATGCCATGACAATAGAGTATTCAAAAATTATTCTCCATTCTTTTCATTCACCTCAAGTTATTGAGAGTGTATAGTATTAGAATATTTTAATGAAATTTTTTTTAATGTACTTTCTCAAGTAATAATTATTTGTCTATAACCTGAGAAATTTACAATTAAAAGTTAATTCAATTTTCTAATTTTTTCTGTAATATTTGTATTTATACATTACTTTTCATTTTTCACACGTGGAATTACAGCTTAATACATTAAGTAAATATTAACTGAACGGCTGAGTGGAAAAATGGCATGCATATCCCATAAAACTACAAAAAATGAGTTACTATCAAATTTGGATTTGTGTATCAGTCCAGCATCTAAGAAACTTTCATGATTCAGTTACATGTCCTACAGGTTGTACAGTCATGTGAGCTGCCACCCACTCCCCACCGTTAATGACAACAATGTGCTAAGTGTCTTATTACCCTGTAAACAAAAATTCCCTTTCCTGTCAGAAGTGGGTCAGATGTCAAGGTTATTGTTTAATTGCATTGAACAGAATGTTGTCCTTGATATTTAATTAAGAATCAGTTTTGTCAGAACTGTTTACTTTTAATAACTTTCTTATACTTCAGTTATAAAATTGCTTTTATCATGTTTTAAATCAATTTGTTATAAATTATACTTGTATAAAGTTTATGAATTAAAACTGCAATGACAATTTCTTTCCTTCAAGAAATATTTATTGATTATACAGTTCGTTTCCAAAAATGTTTTCATATCACTACCTCTTCATTATTATATATATTTAACTAGCTGTTACAAGCGGCTTTTGCAAGCAAACCTCATTTATATTCAGTATTTCAACAACCATAGTAATTGTTATATAACACCTACTGCTGAGAATGATGAAAATTGCTGAGAATCAAACAAACTATTTTCAATTTGATCAATTTTCTGGAACGTTTACAATCGTTCTATAATCGAACCAATATGCAATAACGAATTCGAATTTAAAACAGTTTGAACATTTTTAAAATCGAAATACATAAAAATATTTATAACAATGTGTGAAATGTTATTAATTTAATACACCTAAGTACTCGATGAAGACTAAAACCTCTCCATCTACTGCCCGCGGGGAATTTCGAAAAATTCCTTCTTAGTGTGTATTGCCATGGCATACCCTACTAAAACACAGGTAAAAACATAAAATCGCATCTAAAATAGTACAGTAGAAGCCATTCTTCCGGTTAAGACTTAATGCTCTCTTCCCCATGGGGGAATTTCGAAAAATCCCTTCTTAGTGTGCATTGCCATGGCGTACCCTACTGAAACGCAGATAAAAACAGAAAATCGCATCTAAAATAGTACAGTAGAAGCCATTCTTCCGGTTAAGACTTAATGCTCTCTTCCCCATGGGGGAATTTCGAAAAATCCCTTCTTAGTGTGCATTGCCATGGCGTACCCTACTGAAACGCAGATAAAAACAGAAAATCGCATCTAAAATAGTACAGTAGAAGCCATTCTTCCGGTTAAGCCTTAATTCTCTCCCTCTACCCCCTGGGGGGAATTTTGAAAAATCCCTTCTTAGTGTGCATTTTCATGACATACCCTAACTGTGTACCAAATTTCACCTCTTTAGGTTCAGCAGTTTGCTCTGGGCGATGATGAATCAATCAGTGACTGTCAGTCAGTCAGGACAAGTAATTTTATATATTTAGATAACGAAGAGGTATTTTATTAATATATACAGTGGGTGATTGGTTAACGAACAGATCAGATAACGAACACTTTTGCGAAAGATTTTTATGATCGGACAACGAACATATGTTCGGATAACAAACACTTCACTGAACAAACACAAGAAGCGACGTAAAATAATGAATACCGATTGGTCTTCCTTTGTCTTCAGACAACAATTCAAACTTTTGGGAGCGCGGGAGACGTCGACATCGACGTTCTACCCAGTATATACTGATCGGATAGTATTCCCCCAAACTTTGAAACTCTCCCTTGTAATTCCAGCCTTTAGTATTTCTGACAGAAACAATTCTTTTATGTTTTCTTCTGAAAATGCGGTTTTATGCCGATATCTGCTATTAAAGATCTTTTGAAGAAGTAGGAAGATGTCAGAACAACGGTCTTAAAATGACATCCAAACCAAGTTGAGGTTAATAGGCCTAGGGATCTCTACAATTACAATGCTATTAGTTACTTCTGAAAAATCATGAATAAGATAGAAAAGCAATCGACATTGGACAGATTCTTTAACCCCCACAAACAGAAAAAACATGACTAATAAAAATGCAAGACCGTGTATATATGTATTTTTATTATTACATATGAATAAACGTAGTAAAAAAGTATATACTTTCTTTATTTTTGGGGTCTCCAGAACGAATTAATCAAATTCCCCTAGAAACCTATGGTAAATCAATAATCGGTTAACGAACAATTCGGATAGCGAACAAAGTCTTGGAACGGATTATGTTCGTTAACCGATCACCCACTCTATTTAATTTTCCACTTGCCATCCACTACCCACTATTGTATTTGCATTATGTTGATGATATTCTCATAGTGTGGGAGGATACAGATCAGATGGTTCTTACTGAGAGGTTGATGAGACAATAGCATTCTTGGATTTGCACATACATAGATCCCCTAAAGGATTACTATTCTCGGTATTCCATAATTTTAATATGGTGCCTCATATCATTTAATCAGATGCTTTCCAACCTTTGCAATATGTTGATGCCACTATCACTGTCCTCANATTATATTCCAATTGACCTTTCTATAATTTGTAAATATTTACATATCACATTATATTTCATTTTTTAAATTCTATTGTAATTATGTAAAAACTATTTTTATATCATTTATTTTCCTTTTATATGTTTTTAATTATTTTTTTTAAGCTAATGTGACCTGACCTATAAATGGCAGTTTCCCTGGCATTACATAGAATTTCTACAGGAAAGCCATCATTGCAGGCATAAAGTTGCTTCTGTAAAGTTGTTTATCTGGGAAAGATGCCATTCAGGAACTATTTTTGACATTAAAACAAAATAAATATACACAATTTTTTAAATTTGTAATGAATATTTATTTCAATAATCAAAAGCTATACATTTTTGTAAGCATGATTTTGAAAGAAGCCTTCTAATGAAGGGGTTAAAAGGCGTTAGCCACACCTTTTACTTGCTTGATTGGACATTCCTGTAGGTCACACTCTGCATAAACTGCATTGGCCGTGAATAGTTACCAAACTATATCCGAATCGCAAATCAGAGATAACAAATACATCTAAGCGACCAATCTGCCAGCAATGCATATTATTGTTTAATTGTATTGAACATTCTGTTCAATACAATTAAACAATAACCTTGACATCTGACCCACTTCTTACGGTACAGTACATCCACATTAATAAAGCACTGCACATTAAAATGCTAATGAACTGAAACACTAATCCTCATTTTTCTCAAAAACTTCCTAATGTGGGATATACCATTTTTCCACTCAGCTCCTCAACTGTAATTTGGAAATTTTATATATATATAACATATTAAAATTTTATTATTTTGTACATTCTGTAACTTTGTTCCCCTAGAACAAGAGTGGGCAGCACTGCAAAGAATAAAGTTTTTTAGTTTTAGCATGGATCTCAAAGTGAAGATATGTCTGTGTGTCAGTCCTTTTTGTTCCGTTCTTACATATTTTTAAATTTGATAAAATGTGTGGGTTTCACTGTTAAGCCCTCAAAGCACACTATGACTGTGAAAATATGACATATATAAAAATATCTGCTTTGGTCAGAAATAGGAATATAATAAATTTGTCTTGTTTGACTATTTTATTTTAGTAATAAATTTTATAAACATGAATTTAAAGAAATTCATATTTTTCCTAAAGTTACAAGTGTCTTCTATAAATAGACTTACATTTTCTGAGTTTAATCTATTACATTAATTTATGTAAAAAGTTCTAGTCTAAAAAAAATCTGAAATCACTTAATGTTAAAATATCTTTAAATTCTAAAGTTTAATATTTTTACCTTTACAATTTCAAAAGGAAATCTTTCGTGAAAGACTCTATTGATTCGAGCACCACCAGATAATTCACTAGTGTTAATAGAGGCAGATCCGGATCCCTCTATGCTTCGTTCAAAATCAGTTTGCAGTTGTTGAATCATCCTAATCAAATAATTTATTTTAATTTTTGATCATTAAAAAAAACACCCATTCTAAATCAACAAAAACAAAAGTTTTTCAAAGACTTCATTTTGAACAGTTTATGAAAAGGATAAAATTAAATGAAAAAAAAAAAAATATTGATATTCTGATATAAAGAAAGTCTTTTCAATGTAATATTTTAAAATCAAATTTCCTTTTACAATATTAGAAATTTCTGTAACTTTCAGTAAAGTTATATTTTGACCAATAATCAATATACAATTAAAATTTAATTTAATATAGTAAAAACTGGAAAATAAAACATCTTTCCTTCATATGATTTTGAAATCACTGATATTTTTAAACAATTATATTTTATAATTGAAAATTATACACCATAAAACACACTCCCATTTCAGCACAATATTTAGTGTATTTAAGTCATCTTGCATCTTTAGCTCTTTGCAGAAACCTTTTCTAACTGTATTCTGGGTGTAAAAAGTAAAATTAGAATACACACTTATGTTGGATGCATATGATTTGTCTAGGTAGAGGTAGCCAACTGAAGACCATTTAAAAAATTCATTAGCCTACTAGACTGCAATTTCATATAAGATGTGAGACAATTTTTATTTCTTGAGCCTCTTTTTTAGAGACAAAAATATGTCTTCTATGTAGTAAAATATGGTAGTTATTACTGTATTTTATAGCATATAAGACACAACTTTTGTCTAAAAAATAAAAAAATAAATCATTCATTCTGCACCCTTAGCTTTTGAATAAAAATGTTATTGTTCAATTATTACTGATTTTAATTATTTAAAAATGAAACTATTGTAAGTACAGTAGAGTCCCGAAAACTTGGCCTAATGTGGACTGAAGGGTGGCCAAGTTTGTGAAAATGCTGGGTTATCGGGAATGGGGTTAAAAAAGAATAAGTACGAGTGTTTTCTCAGAAAATACTGTACTGTACTTGTATGTATTGTTTGCTTGAGAATACAACAGAGAATAAACTGCCCAAATACCCTTAAACAAAGGAAAAGTACATACTTTATGAAGGCATATAGCCTTTACTACATGAAAATGAAAATTAATTAATACACATTGTATAGTAATTTACCTGATAAGACAGACCTCAGAAAAATATTTTATGAGGCTTAAAGCTGTCTATAATGAAAATTAACTAACTGACTTTGCAAAAACTGGCTACTTTTTTTTAAAGAAATGTAATGTCCTGTTGTCTTCTGCAATGCACTCTGCGTTTTGCTGCTTTATCACGAAGACAATGAAGGAACAGCAAGTCCATTACCGACGCATCTTGTTCAAAATACTGAAGGGCGGTTTCGACAGCCTTTAGTCCCTCACTATGTGATATTTTAGGAGCTTGTACGGTGGAGTCCTCAACATCAACGTCTTAATCGTTTTCCGGCATTTTTTCATTAACTGTGACAGCAGCAATAATTTCTGCATCGGACATAATGTTTTGCTTGGTATTGTTCTGGAACCACTGTTCGACGTCATTTTCATCAGCTTCTGCATATCCAGGAACTCTTTTCAGAAGGTCGAGTAAGTTTAAATTTTCTGCATCATCAACGAACTCATTTCTCTCACGATCAAGGAGTTTTCGCCAGGAATGAACTAGTGTTAACGACTCTAACTCGTTCCAGGCGTCCGCCACCCAGCCAACATCCAATAGGTTAATTTTCTTTAAGTTCTGGATAAGACTTTGACCATTATCATTTGCAGAAAGAAGGGAGGATAACAACTTGCGCCGAGTTATCCGGACTGCTGGGTTATCGAGTGCTGAAATTTCGGCACTCGATAACCGGCAGTCCGAGTTTTCGGGACTCTACTGTATTAAAGTTAAATAACCTGAGATGATTATTGAGCAACTGTTCATCATATATATCCAACATAAAAGTATGTATTATAATTTTACTTTTTTCCCTAGAATAGATGACTTAAATACATTAAATACTTTTCCTAAATATTCTGTGCTGAAATGAGCTGCATCTTATGTGCCATAAAATGTGGTATATTTTAATGTTTCATAAATTGTCATCTAATTTTCTGCAATAGTATAGAATACATATAAATAACTTCACATTAAAAATTTTTTTTTATCTATTTGATCATCATTAACCAACACATTAAAAAATATATTATATACAGGTTAATCATATGAACTGAGTTAACCTACAGCACTTTTTATGACTTGGCTTGTAATGTATCAACTGTCTGTAGCTCAGTGGTCTTTGGTTTTGTACACTACAACAAGATGTCCTTTATTTTGAATTTACCACATTCTTTGTCACAGCAAGGCACTTCCTTTCTCAAGGCATTATCGCATCTTTTAAGGTCTAATTTCTAATTAATTTTTTTAATAATGTTCTTTTGCACACAACTGCAATTGCATTAGTTCCTATAAAATTAGTCCTTTTACTTATTTAATGGCCCACTTCCATGCCGTATATGTACAGTAGACCCCCCTATAATTACGGTTCCTATAAAACTGCGAAAAAATTGTGACGGTATCCATAAAAAAAGGTAAAAAAACTCCTATAATTACGTAAAACATCATCGGGCAGCCGAACTACTTTCCGCGCCGTCAAGCGCCACGCTACGGAGAAATTACTATAGTCTGTACAGTATTATATATAAATTAGGTACTGTACATATAATTATATATAAATTAGGTACTGTATATATAATTATATATTAACTTAATTTATTGTAACTTTATTATAATTATATATATGCTTTCCACCGCGTAGCGCCACACTACGAAAATTTTACGCTATCTATCGTCTGTACAGTATGTAAATTAGGTACTGTAAGTCTAATACAGTACTGTAATTTTATACATTTCTTGTGAAAGAAACATTTCTTATTCAACGGCAATTAAAATTATTTATATTAATGATGTCTCCAAAGTTCAACGAAGTTTTCGCAGAAAAATAAGTTATTAGAAATCGGCCGCTGTTTGCTGAGCTGTTCCGCGATGAAAACAAGCTTGAATAATGGCGATGTCGAATGGTGCACACTCGGTAGGTAATCCTACAATTTTTTGTTTATAGCATAGTTTATACGGATTATTTCCAAAAAAAAAAATATACGTATTTTGGAAATGTTGAGTCGGATTAGTCTAGAATAGATTAATTTTATGGAAGAAAACCTTTCAATCAGCCGTAGTCCGTAAACTTCACACGTGTCGGGCTGTGATTGGAAGGACTCGTAAGAAATCGGATTCCTAAAGAATGGAATGTATCTATGATCTTATAGGGGGGTCGACTGTATTTATTACAAGCTGAAGAGTAGCATATCTTCTAGCATATGTTGTTTTAACAACCTATTGTTTACACCAAATATAATTTTATTTTGTAATAGCTTATTCACCATACCCAAAATCTTTAATATGGGTCCTAGAAAGCATAAAAACTGTCAAAAGACTCACTGATTTTATGACAAAAGTTATTAAATTGTAAACATTGATATGGCTGTGTGGGGGTGAATGCAATGTGTGTTTTGAAAATTATTACTGATTACTTCTATATCCATCTTTTCAGAGCTCAAGAATGAAATGGCAGTTGCTGTGCAAAATAACATTATTAAAAAAATTAATTAGAAATTAGACCTTAAAAGATGTGGTAATGCCTTGAGAAAGGAAAGTGACTTGCTATGACAAAGAATGTGGTAAATTTCAAAATAGAGGGCATCTTGTTGTAGTGTACAAAACTGAAGACCACTGAGCTACAGACAGTTGATACATTATATACAGGTTGACACACACCATCTGTACACCCATTTTAAAATGAAGGAAAGTGAGTTTCATCAAACATCCTAAAAATTTTGATAAGTGAATTGAGTACACTTTATTAAATGGTAATATTTTCAATATCTGGTATTGGCCCTGCATGAAAAAAATATTATATATACTATTAAATATATATATATAATATTTTAGAATAATAATCATGTTATTATTATCATGTTACTATTAAATACAATAGTTTAATAATGCATTAAAATCATCATAAATACTTTTATTTGAAACTATAAAATATCAATTGACTAATTATTGGTGCAGATGTTTTTCATTGAATGGATTGAAATAAGGAATGTTATTGTTCACTACTATTTTATGTTGAAAAAAAAATTATTAAAATTTGCTTAATATTCACCCAAAGTTTTTTAAATTTGAGAATATATATTAATTATTATAACTTAAAATTTATTTAAATATTTTACTTACTGGAGCATTGCTTTTGTCTTACGAGATGGGTCATCTGGATGATAGTTCTTATATTCATCTACATCTTTTTCCATTGAAATCAGCTGCTTTTGGAGTTTATCACGTAAACTTGGTAAAGTATCCCTAATATGATTTGTTAATTGTTGATTTAAAACTCTTTGAAGATATGGTGTTCCCATACGTTCTGCCATATGCCTAAAATTTTCAATTTATTAAATAAATAATAAATAAAATATAATAATTAAATTTTAAAAATTTAAATTTAATTCAGCTTACAAGTAGTCTCAACTTTTGAGCAACTTGTTCTTTCATACATATTTTGATCCTCAAAAAAAAATTTTTTTTACATCAAATTCATACTTTCATATACTTTAGCTGACAAAAATTTTGAGCTATTGTACACTAGCACTTTTTGGCAGTTTTGGTCACAAATTATTTTGTGAAAATCAATTTTTATTGTCTTTTTTGTTTAATCAATGATTTTAATATTTTAAATAGTATTTTATGCAATATAACATATTCATTGCAAAAAAAGCAAAACTTTTTCCTATCTTAATAAGAAATTTTGTAATTTTTCTTTTTAGTTCTCTGGGGATGGTACTCTCTTTATAACATGTAACAATTTTTTTTTAAATATAACTGTGACTTCTGTATACATTCATAGGAATGTGTGTGTCCAAAAGTTGGAGATTTCCTGTATCTATTTTTAATATACACAAAATTGTAAATATTAAAATTATAAAATCAATAATAAGTTCTTAAGTATTTAAATATATAAAAAAAAGGTGGGCAATATATAACATTTGATATGAAGCAACAGACTTTATAACATATTGATTTTGATGTTAAAGTAAAAAGTAGAAATTTTGCACTAGAAATTTCCAATTTTCTGCAAATTGCTTAGTAGTATAACAAAAACATTTGCTAGAAATTAGATAAAGATTTAACTTAAGTGGATATGCAGAATGTCCAAACAAAATAGACAAACTATCTAAAAGTAAAGGTTTTTAGTTTCTACAAAAATAATAAAATTACTCAAAGAAATGGATTCTAAGTTTTTAACTTTACAAAGGAGATAAGGAGATAAAAAAAGGATTTTTAAATATTTAATAATTGTACGAACTAGCTTCAGAAAATAAACTCTGTTAATTTAGTAATAAGTTTCAATTATTTTCATTAAAAAAAATTGAAAAATTTGTAACTTTAAAAAATAGATTAACTAGTAATAATGATGACAAAATTATAGAAGTTTACAAATTTTATATTATAAAATCAACTATAAGAATATCTAAATATGAACAAACCATTGTACTGAACTTTATATTCAAATACAATTGCTTCATTCATATTATAAAGTCATAGTCTGAATAAATTTTGAAATTTTTAATTTATTTAATACTTAACTAATATTTTGTAGTTTTTTTTAAAACCATTATTTGATATTAATTAAAAAAATTACTATATCAAAATTCTATTCATTATAATGTTATAGTTATTATTTTGAATTCATTGATCTTAATTAAACTTAAATTACTCTTAAACTCATTACCAATATAATATAATGTTTTTCAATTAATAGCATATTAATATTAATGAACACCATTAAAGATTTGTCATGAATAAAGTTTTAGAAATAAAAATTCCTCTTAATATATTGGTTTATTTTTCAATTATTATGTAATTTAAATTTTTTAATGCAAGAATGCGCTTTATTTTTTTCATTATATAACATGAAAATTGTCATTCCTTTCATTATTCATATAATTAACTTATTTGCTCATTTGTTAAATTAATCATTAGATTTTTATTACATTAAAAATAACTTTTTCTAATTATTACTTATTTAAATTTTTAATTATACAAATTAAAATTTCTTTGTTGTTAACAAACATCAGCATTAAATAAATTTTTCTAAAGGAAAAATATTACTATCAAATTCAAAATAGTATCTGTTGTTTAGATGATTCATAAAATTATTATTATTGTTACATTATTGCTAAACGTTTATAATTTAGTTGTACTGGTACATCCTTTTTTTCACATAATAAAGTAATTTGCTATGTTTATTGTAAGTTACATTTACAATAAACATATAAATAAATATAACTATAAATAAAGACTAATTTTCTTTTTACATTCAACTTTATTTAAATTTATTCCATTAAAAATATGTCATTATTTCTTACAATAAAATATTATATGCAGAAAATTACATTTCTTTTCAAATTTGACTATGAATAATTTATGATAAAATTCTTAAAATTTGGTTTTATAACCTCATCATATATACAGTATTTGTGAATCCCATCTTTTGTGACTCTGAAAAGTGACTGTCACAATCAGTTTTCTATTTCCTGAAATATTGAAGCAATAATAATCACTCCTACTGATTATATTCAATCTAATCAGTTCAGAAAACTTATAAACTTATCAGTAAATCAATTTATTTTTTTAAAAATAAAAATTAAGCAAAAATTGCAGAAATTCTGCAATTTTTATTTTACACTGAAAGTATAACATCAGTTGTATCCACAGTTTGTTTCAATCTGCCATTTACATCAATGACTCCAATGATTAAATCAGATTGTAATCTTATATTAGGATTTTATAGTGGTAACTAATATTTAATAGAAGATGGTAATGCTGCGTTAAAAAAAAATCAGACTGTTTAAAAATTATTTTACTTTTAAAATATGTAGAATATTTGTTTTTCAAATTAAACTATACTAATGTAAAACTTACCTATAACTTGGATGACTTAAAAAAAACCTTCTTTCTGAATCCAAAGCCACTTTGATATCTTTTCTACCTTCAATATCTTTTTGACTTCGGTTTACAACACCTATATAACCTAAATTTATAAAACAAAATAATTAAAATATATCATTGATTACTTATTTTCAACACTAGCAAGTTAAAACATTTAACTATTANATATTTTGCATAACAAATTGGGTTAAAAGAAGTTGTTATACTGGACCAGAGTACAATTCCCTTGACGAACATAACAGACCCCACACATAGCAGAGGGGAGGGCGCAACGATCACAAAGACAAAGGTCACATACACAACTTTCTAACAATTTTAAAAAAATTTATTAGACTAAACATCGATGAAAATTCAACGCAAAGTTGGTTAATAGCGATATACTAATAAACTAATTACATGGGATATACTAATATCCTAATATACCATACTAATAATGCATTTTTTCCCTTCTTTTCGGTTATCCGATTTTTTTCAGTTATCCAACCAACCTGAATCCCCAATTGAGTCGGATAATTGATGCTCTACTGTATTGTATGTAATTATTTTGTTTGTTTGTGTTTTTAGTATATATTATACTCACACACATATACAACATAATTTAATAATGAGAAGTCATTAACAAGTTATCTTTTCACACACACACACACACACATTATATATATATANTTATTACTTATTTAAATTTTTAATTATACAAATTAAAATTTCTTTGTTGTTAACAAACATCAGCATTAAATAAATTTTTCTAAAGGAAAAATATTACTATCAAATTCAAAATAGTATCTGTTGTTTAGATGATTCATAAAATTATTATTATTGTTACATTATTGCTAAACGTTTATAATTTAGTTGTACTGGTACATCCTTTTTTTCACATAATAAAGTAATTTGCTATGTTTATTGTAAGTTACATTTACAATAAACATATAAATAAATATAACTATAAATAAAGACTAATTTTCTTTTTACATTCAACTTTATTTAAATTTATTCCATTAAAAATATGTCATTATTTCTTACAATAAAATATTATATGCAGAAAATTACATTTCTTTTCAAATTTGACTATGAATAATTTATGATAAAATTCTTAAAATTTGGTTTTATAACCTCATCATATATACAGTATTTGTGAATCCCATCTTTTGTGACTCTGAAAAGTGACTGTCACAATCAGTTTTCTATTTCCTGAAATATTGAAGCAATAATAATCACTCCTACTGATTATATTCAATCTAATCAGTTCAGAAAACTTATAAACTTATCAGTAAATCAATTTATTTTTTTAAAAATAAAAATTAAGCAAAAATTGCAGAAATTCTGCAATTTTTATTTTACACTGAAAGTATAACATCAGTTGTATCCACAGTTTGTTTCAATCTGCCATTTACATCAATGACTCCAATGATTAAATCAGATTGTAATCTTATATTAGGATTTTATAGTGGTAACTAATATTTAATAGAAGATGGTAATGCTGCGTTAAAAAAAAATCAGACTGTTTAAAAATTATTTTACTTTTAAAATATGTAGAATATTTGTTTTTCAAATTAAACTATACTAATGTAAAACTTACCTATAACTTGGATGACTTAAAAAAAACCTTCTTTCTGAATCCAAAGCCACTTTGATATCTTTTCTACCTTCAATATCTTTTTGACTTCGGTTTACAACACCTATATAACCTAAATTTATAAAACAAAATAATTAAAATATATCATTGATTACTTATTTTCAACACTAGCAAGTTAAAACATTTAACTATTATTTATTAGATGAGAGCTGAAATATATTAAATATAATTACAATTAAAAAAGAATTTAGTTTTATTAATTACATTTTTAATCATATGACATTATATGATTCAATATAGTTTCAAAATTATATTGGAAATTTTCTGTATTTAAAACAAATTCATAGAAGACAAAAGAATTATTAATTTTTATCAATTAATTTTTGTATAGTAGAGCATCAATTATCCGAACCCCAATTAACTGTCACATTGGTTAACCGACTGTTCTAGTCAGCAAATTTCAAATGTCCGCTAGTGATGCGGCACTACAATATTTGGCTATGTCTTGGCTACTTTAATATTATTTTTGTTAAATTTTTGCATGTTTTAGCTGGCATCAACGGCTTGACCATTGAAGGGAGGCTAGTATTTAAACGAGACTTAATTTTCTAATTATGAGTGGTTGTTTGTTTTGTGAGCAATAATTTAAAAATAATTTTTAACGATACAATAGTGACAATTATTATTTTTGTCAGGGTTTGGATATAATGGAGGGTAATGTCGAAGGTAACACAAAGAAAGTGGAGAGAACTAGAAAGCGATGTCCGTTAGACCACAGCACACATTCCAAACTAAACTATACTGGACCAGAGTACAATTCCCTTGACGAACATAACAGACCCCACACATAGCAGAGGGGAGGGCGCAACGATCACAAAGACAAAGGTCACATACACAACTTTCTAACAATTTTAAAAAAATTTATTAGACTAAACATCGATGAAAATTCAACGCAAAGTTGGTTAATAGCGATATACTAATAAACTAATTACATGGGATATACTAATATCCTAATATACCATACTAATAATGCATTTTTTCCCTTCTTTTCGGTTATCCGATTTTTTTCAGTTATCCAACNTATATATAAAATTAAATAAGATATATAGATATATATATATCATATTTTAATTTTTATTATTCTGTATATATTTTTGTACAACTTACTTTTGTAATCTTGTTCCTTTGAAATGAGATTGACAACCTTATAAAGAATAGAGAGTCACTTACCTTGAGGTGAACAGATGTGTTGTCACATTGTTGTCTTTTCATATATATACATATATATATTTCTTATATACAGTATAAGAAGTTTTGTGTATGTATGTATGTATGTATGTATGTATGTATATATGTTTGATATTATTTATAAATACATATATATATTTATCTTTCTCCTTCTCAGTAATATTAGTTACTTATACTAAGAAACACACCTGATTTCTATTTGCCGAGTTTTTTCTTTATTCCGGAAAAAAGTATATTATTTTATTTCATTCGGAAAAAAGTATATTATTTTATTTGAAAAGAACTAATACATGTATAAAAAAAATACAAATAATTTAATTTTTACTATTCATAAAAATAAAATAACTAATAAGAAAAGATTTAATCTTTATTATATTCTTACCCCGTCGAAGTGGTAATAATTTATTTTCTAATATATCTTTTGCATCTGTTCCTTCATCCATTAGATCTAGTTTGGTAATTACTCCAATTGTACGTAATCCTAAGTTAAGCATATTATTAGAATATAATATAAAAAACCTAAAAACTGTTTTCAACAATTATAAATAATTATACAGCAAAATCCATTAAAACAATTTCCTAAAACAAGAAAGATTTTTTTTCTTTACTTAGAAAATATCTTTTTGTGCAAATTTGAATTATTACTACAATATATTACTTGTAAGTAATGTTATTCACTATTCAGTATATAATTATTGAACATTATGAATAGATAATAACTTCCAAAAAAGAATATTTATCATGAAAATATTAAAGTATACAAATTTGCATATTTATTTCAATTATGATACATTAACATTATGTTAGAGCGATTATATACACATAAAACAAAACAATATTAAATTAAAAAAATGAAATTTATACAATATTTATATGGTATATAGATGTTTTTTCATGCTTAGAAATACAGAAATAAATAAATGATTTAATTCCTTCTGAACAAAACATTTTACACTTTTACCTACAGTATTTATATAATAAAAAATTATATTAAATACATTATTTAATTTTCCTGTTAATTCTTTTGTTGTCATTTTAGGATTTAAAAAATGTAAGGTTCAAAATAAAAATAAAAAAATTATGTTGGTGTAATTGCTTTTTGTCCTTATGTTACAATATGAAACTATGAGTACTAAATTTTGGCTGTATGGGGGGCTTATTACATACTATTGATGTTGTCGAAGTAATCACACAGAAGTAGGTAGACACGAGTTTATTATGACAATGGTGTGCATTTCAGACAGGTTGTCTGTCCCTCTTCAGCCATATTTGTTACAATTTGGTGGGTTTACAGGAGTCTACAAAATACAAGTTTTTTTGTTACAAACATTTGGGTTGGCCTTTCTTAAAACAGCTCTTACTTTTGTAACTGTGATCTTGTTTATAACTTTGTATTACGTTCATTTACCATAGTACTTACTTTACAATTAATTTCATTAAGCAACAATTTTAATCTCTAGTTGCCATTTGTACCAAAAACATAATATAACATCTGTGAAAAATCCCAAAAATGAAGTCATCCACACATTAGCAACAAAATAGAATGTACCTTTTAAGTATGTATAAAAATGTAATTATGAACTATTTTAATCACAAACCCAAATGCTTGTAATGAAAAACCACTTGTATTTTGTAGAATCCTGTAAACCTACCAAATTATAACAAATATGGCTGAAGAAAGACAGACAACCTGTTCGAAATGCATACCATCATCATAATAAACTGGTGTCTACCTACTTATGTGTGATTACACCAACAATGTCAATATGAGAATCTAATATATCATCAATATTGTCATACTTATTCAATAATTGTTGTTGAATCTACCACCCAAGAAAATCTCCACTTACACTTTCTTAAAGGCAAAAATGACACATTCCTGTGATCTGCTGACCCCTTAGCTGGGCAATATAGGGCTGATATTAAAATTGACGGCTGAAGAGTCAGTTGTCACCCGTTCCTCTTGGACTAGTCTTCAAAAATTTTCTGTGCCTGTACAAAATTTTACTGGATCGGATTTCAGCCTCGACCAACAGCACCGGTGAGGACAAACCTTCACGATGACCTTGACCCAGACTTTTCCGATCCAGAACTTTCTGAACCCTTCAAGAACGATAACGGTCTCCATAGTCTCAATGAAAATCTCAATGAAATCTATCATCACTTTGTGGACATCCTCTACTCCTGGTATTTATTGACTTGCAAACCACTGTAAACTCTCTCGAAATATCGTGACCTATTTTAGTTTGATTTATTATAAATCATTAGCGATATAAATTGTACACAATGTATTTTCCTTTACAAATAAATGGCTGTTTAGTTAACCTGGCATCCGAGTGATTCACTTCCGGTACTCCATCTCTCAAACCTCCTCCATCCTGAATCCAATTGCCCATGCATGCGCTGCTTGCGTGGGCATGTTGATTCTAATACTGAATCAACATGCCATCTCGGCTTCCGTGTCATTCAGGACACAGTGGTGCCAATCCTGACAAGCACTAAAGACGTGCTGACCCTCCAGTCACATTAATAGTGTGTGATAAGTCCTCCATAGAGCCAACTTAGTGCTCATAGTTTCATAAAAAAATTATGGTCATAAAATATGAGCAAATAAATAATTTTAATATATTAAAAAATTTTTTAAATGCTTTTAGTGATCATGTTTTGTGAGATTGGGGTGAAGGATGGTGGGGTGGGACCATCTCCTAAAACATTAAATGCATTGTCATTGAACTTAGGTATGTCCTCAAAGTTACAATTTTAGAAAAGGCATAATCATTTAATTGCTATTGTGACGATAATTAATATTCATATGACAGAATAAATTGACCGATTGATTTCATTTTCAAAGTTCATAGTTCTGTAATGTCTTTCAAAAATGTAGTTTGAATTTTGTAATTTCAATTAGAATTAGAATTGATGAATTGTAATCAGATCTATTTTATACAGGTTTCTTGGATTAAAAAACTAATGGCCTCTCCTAATAATATTGATATAATACAAAGTACAAAAAACAATCATTTAAATTATTATAACAAATAAACAATCAAAATAAACGGTATTACAAATATTAACAATTTTTCAAAATTATATTACTTAAAAACAGATAAAATTGTGAGATCTTTATACATTACCTTCTGGATCTACTTCTTTTGAAAGTTTTAATGCATCTGATGTTGCTAAATCCTGAGTTGCAGGTGTCACTGCCAAAATGAGACAGTTTTCTTTCCGAATAAATGATAAAATCATTTCTCTAATTTGAACTTCAATATCTGGAGGCTGGTCACCGACAGGTACTTTTGTTAACCCAGGCAAATCAATTAAGGTTAAATTCAAAACTGTATTGGAAAAAGAAAAGCTATATTAAAATGTTAACAATCTGAACAATTATAATAAATAATAATAATTATTTATTATAAAATTAAATTATTAAGTAATAAAATCTATTTTTATTCTATATATAATACATAGAATTCTTTATAATAAAATTTGCTTGATTGAAATAAAATAACTAGGTATTTTCTAGGAAAAGAAAACTGAGTGCCACAGCATAGAGTTTTCAATTTTGGCTTGACACAAAAACACAAATGTGGCGATTTGCTTCTAATGTTCTGTCTAAAGCAGTTTAATTAAAACCTGAAAGTATGGGAGGGGGATGTGCATGTCCATCATCATAGCTCTTCAGAAACATCAAGAAATGTTTAAAACATCCACATGTGCAACTTTTCAAAAGTTAATTTAGTCATGACAACATGCATGTTAAATGCATGTAATTAAAATAAAAAGTTGTCATAGAGACCAATGTTAATTAACAGTATATTATAAACTCAATTGAGATGTAGCACATGACAAGCCTACAACTGACAATCAACCCATAGAGTTTACATGGAGAAATTTGACCCAGAATATCTCACAGCTGAATTTCAAATTTCAAAAATCTGGCTTTGTCACGACATTGGACTTGCCGAACCATACATATCTGCACAAAAAATGTTTAATGGTCATGAAGTTGCATTGAACTTTGATCACAGACAAAACACTTTCTGACTTATAAAGTGCTTTTCTCAATTACTCCATTAAATAATTGTCACTAAAAACAGTTATCTAATGGAGTAATTGCTTTGTTTCAGTTTCAAAAAATCAGATTTTGATTAGTTCATTACAGGTGAAATTATTATTTATATTATTTCATAATACAAAAATATAACTTTTGTTTATCATAAAATAAAGTATATTTAATTTTTAACTGATTAAAATATTTAATTTTCAGAAAGAAAAAAATCCATGACAAAAATGGAAAAATATTTTTATTTTGTAGTGAATATAGGAACTCAAAGTTTTCTTTTTAATCACAAAGTCATAAGCACTTAAGAAATTTAGTAAACTTTGGTATGGATGTCTTTATTAGCACATATTTAACCTGTAATTGACTTCTTGTTAAGTGTTTCACAGCATGTTTTGGAGGCAAGTCATTGTTTCCACTAGTTGGTATTTCAACTATTTCAATTCTATAATGTGGATCATCTTTGTATGTACTATCAACCAGGATACTTCTTGTCTAAGAAAGTTTTTATGTTACTACAAAAAGAAACCATCTTGGGATAGTTATTCTGGTTAATGTTTTATTAAATATCTTAAATCTTGTCAATACTGTACACACACACACACACTGCTTGTACTGTACAAACTCAACATTATGATATCTGCTAACAATGCATGTCACTAAAAATTTGTCATACTTTTGTTGAAAATTTGCTTTTACCATACATTTCTTGATGTAATTAATACAAGGGCAGACTGAAAAGTTTCTGAAATCACTGCTAGAGAGTGAGTTGGAAATATTTTTCCCACACTGCATTAGCAAATCTTTCATATGTATTAACTCCAGTTTCACATTGATCTGGTCAACAGTTAGATTTTTATAAGCATTGAAAATGCCTGTTCATACATGAAGAAAATTGAAGGAGCAGTTATCAAATTTTTTCATTTGAAGAAAAAAACTAATGGAAATCAAATCCAGGTTGAACAATGTTCTTGGTGATTCATCTCCTTCATTTTCCATGGTAAATTTTTGGGTTTCAGAATTCAAGTGTGGCTCCACACATACAAGTGATGAACCACATTCAGGACATCCAAAAACAGCTACCACTCCAGAAATTATGGATAAAATCCACAACTTGGTGTTAAAAGATTGCCGAATCAAAGTGCTTTAAATTGAGGAAGCCGTGGGCATCTCCTATGAATGAGTAGTTCATATTTTGCATAACAAATTGGGTTAAAAGAAGTTGTCTGCAAGATGAGTGTCACAATTGCTCAAGAAAGAGCAAAAATGCATTCAAGTTAGACTTTCTGTCAAGAGTTTGGAATTGTTTAAAAGAAATCCAATGGATTTCAAGCAATGATTTATGACAATGGATGAGACCTGGATTCACAATTACACACCAAAACAAAAATTCAATCAAGATAGCAGATTAGAGAGGGTAAACATATTCCAAATAAGGTGAAGAACATTCATTTGGTTGGCAAGGTGATGGCATCAGTTTTTTGGGACACCAAAGAAATTTTGTTAATTGACTACTTGAAAAAGAAAAAACTGTCACTGGCAATATACTATGGACAAATATTAATAAACACTTGGACAAGTTCAAAGCAACATTCCAGAAAAAATGCCTAGGTATGATCAAGGAAAAAGTGCTGTTTCACCATGACAATGTGTCCACTCATTCAAGTACAGCTGTTCAGAAAAAACTGGCAGAAATTAAGTTTGAAATTCTTCCACATCCCCAATATCACTGGATTTAGCTCCCTCAGACTTCTCTACCTGTTCCCAAAACTCAAAACATTCCTAGCTGGAAAGAGATTTTGGTCCAATGAAGAGATGATTGAGTCTGTAAACTGCTATTTTGGGGCCTTGGAGAAAATCACTTCTGGGAGGGAATCGAAAAGCCAGAGAAACATTAAATCAAGTGTGTTAAGATTTGAGGAGATTATGTTGAAAAATAAATTGTAACTTGGAAATAATTTATTTTGTTTCCACTGTCATTACAGAAACTTTTCAATCCACCTCGTATATGGAATGGTCCACTTTAATCAATCCACTATAATAAACATGCTCAATCTCATTAATCTATTACAGTAACAGCATAAGCACTTGGATAAAAATGTTGGTAAAAGTTGTGCAGCACTTTCAAATAATATTGCATTTCCAATACTTTAAACAGTACTTAGTATAATTGCAAGTGGAAAGATGTGAACATCAAATCCAGTGTTGATTAGCAGAGTTTTAGTTTACTAAAATTGAAATAAAAATTAAAACTACATGTATATAATGCAAAACTGAAACTCAGGAATGAATAAAACAAAGTTAGTATTGATTCAGAAGAGTTTAGCAGAGAAAATGAAGAGATTATAAGCAGGTTACAGTGATATACAACTTATTTTACTTGCAATAAATACTGATTCTGTTGACATAAATTTGTCTCAAGTTGTTTATTAAGAAAAAACCTTTGATTGAACACACAGAAATTAAGGCATGTCTTAGATTTGAGTAAATACAGTAGGTTATAAGCTTACAGATAAGTAATTCATATTATGTTTAAACTGAAAAGCTAAATAATTAAAATTAAATAATTATAACTCATTACTTTCAATATAAAAGACTAATCACAGTAATTAATCTACGAATTTCATTGCAACAAATTATTTCACAAATAATTTACATTGCATTAATGCCATCATATTATATAAATTTATTAGCTATGCTAAATAAAATTCTTTTCTAAAGAATTATGCATATATAATAAATAACATTCATATTAAAAAATTTAAAACAAAATATTCTTTCAAATTTTTCTTAAAATAATTTTAATTTATTAAAATAAATTGAATTTACTATTAATTTTTTCATATATAAATCTTACCATATGGTGAATATACTCTCAAATTAATTGGAAGTGATGAAATTCCTTTGTTACTACCAGTACATCTATCTGTTTCATCTTCAATTTCCTTGCGAATAGCATCAAAATCTGTAAATTTTTTACCTCTGCAATGAAGAAATTCACCCCATTCTGAAATCACAATTTCAAAGATTAATAATAATATTTTTAAGTTACATTGTAAATTTTCATATTTGTGTAAAAAATATTTCAAGCTATTAGAAAAAATGCATCTGTTATAAAATATGTTAATGAGAAATCAATGTTAAAATCACATGCAAATTGGAAACAGTCTAATTCTAAAAAATTAAAGTTTTGCAAGACAGTAAAACCTTGGTTGTATGTTCTGTACTTATATATTATATTTTACATGTCTCAGCTATGTCTCACATAACCTGATCTTATTCTTTTGTTTATTTTTTTCACTTACGTTTAATTTATTGGCCCCAATACCATACAAAAATTCACTTATGTTTTCTTGGTTTTTACTTTTTACCGAGTTGAAATAAAGTACTTTTCAATAAATTGGAAAATTTAAGTTCTGGATATGTTTGTGTATCTCAACCTCTAATTTATAATTGCTTAACGATTTACTACTGTCTTTCATAAAGCAGCTCTTCTTCACTAGTAAAAAATCCAGCAACAAGCTGCATAACTTTCCTGGCAAGAGTTAAAATTGTGTCTGTGTGCCATCTGTTATGAGATTTATTTTAAAAAAACTTTTTCTATTATTAATTAATATGCATCTATGTCCTTAATTTAATCAAAATTATTCTTTCAATCACTATATCAGTGTATTTCTATTAATAAGACTTATCATACTGGTGCATAAGATTACAGCCTCACAGTTACACAGATTAAAATTGTTTTATTTTACAATTACCTGTAATTGTAAAATAAAACAATTTTAATCTGTGTAACTGTGTTAATAATTAATAATAGAAAAATTTTAAAGAATAATTTTTCTATTATTAATTATTATAAAATGGCAAAAAGCTTAATTTTGAGGGTAGAGATGAGTTTTATAAAAAAAAAAAATTGTAAATGCTAATATCAAATAAAATCTTCATTAAATCTGATTCCACTCAAGATATGGCATGTGACCTCCTCTATTTCCCTACCCCTTGACCTTCAATCACAAAAATTTAACAGCATCAATCTCCTAATACACAAACCTCCTTGCAAAAATTCAGAAATTTTCAACAAAAGACACAGGAATTAAGCTTCAAAGCAGGTGAACAAAATTGTGCCTCCCCACATATTAACATCCATACATTAAAAAAAAGAAGTTTTTTTTAATGTTGACTTTCCAAGATTTTTACAAATGACTTTCCAAGATTTTTACATTTTTGGACTCTGGTCCTTGAAACATCAAGAAATACAAACAAAAAAGAAGTTTTTTTCTGTTTGTATTTCTTGATGTTTCAAGAACCAGAGTCCAAAAATGTAAAAATCTTGGAAAGTCATTTGTAAAAATCTTGGAAAGTCAACATTAAAAAAAACTTCTTTTTTTTAATGTATGGATGTTAATATGTGGGGAGGCACAATTTTGTTCACCTGCTTTGAAGCTTAATTCCTGTGTCTTTTGTTGAAAATTTCTGAATTTTTGCAAGGAGGTTTGTGTATTAGGAGATTGATGCTGTTAAATTTTTGTGATTGAAGGTCAAGGGGTAGGGAAATAGAGGAGGTCACATGCCATATCTTGAGTGGAATCAGATTTAATGAAGATTTTATTTGATATTAGCATTTACAATTTTTTTTTTTTATAAAACTCATCTCTACCCTCAAAATTAAGCTTTTTGCCATTTTATAATAATTAATAATAGAAAAATTATTCTTTAAAATTTTTCTATTATTAATTATTAACACAGTTACACAGATTAAAATTGTTTTATTTTACAATTACAGGTAATTGTAAAATAAAACAATTTTAATCTGTGTAACTGTGAGGCTGTAATCTTATGCACCAGTATGATAAGTCTTATTAATAGAAATACACTGATATAGTGATTGAAAGAATAATTTTGATTAAATTAAGGACATAGATGCATATTAATTAATAATAGAAAAAGTTTTTTTAAAATAAATCTCATAACAGATGGCACACAGACACAATTTTAACTCTTGCCAGGAAAGTTATGCAGCTTGTTGCTGGATTTTTTACTAGTGAAGAAGAGCTGCTTTATGAAAGACAGTAGTAAATCGTTAAGCAATTATAAATTAGAGGTTGAGATACACAAACATATCCAGAACTTAAATTTTCCAATTTATTGAAAAGTACTTTATTTCAACTCGGTAAAAAGTAAAAACCAAGAAAACATAAGTGAATTTTTGTATGGTATTGGGGCCAATAAATTAAACGTAAGTGAAAAAAATAAACAAAAGAATAAGATCAGGTTATGTGAGACATAGCTGAGACATGTAAAATATAATATATAAGTACAGAACATACAACCAAGGTTTTACTGTCTTGCAAAACTTTAATTTTTTAGAATTAGACTGTTTCCAATTTGCATGTGATTTTAACATTGATTTCTCATTAACATATTTTATAACAGATGCATTTTTTCTAATAGCTTGAAATATTTTTTACACAAATATGAAAATTTACAATGTAACTTAAAAATATTATTATTAATCTTTGAAATTGTGATTTCAGAATGGGGTGAATTTCTTCATTGCAGAGGTAAAAAATTTACAGATTTTGATGCTATTCGCAAGGAAATTGAAGATGAAACAGATAGATGTACTGGTAGTAACAAAGGAATTTCATCACTTCCAATTAATTTGAGAGTATATTCACCATATGGTAAGATTTATATATGAAAAAATTAATAGTAAATTCAATTTATTTTAATAAATTAAAATTATTTTAAGAAAAATTTGAAAGAATATTTTGTTTTAAATTTTTTAATATGAATGTTATTTATTATATATGCATAATTCTTTAGAAAAGAATTTTATTTAGCATAGCTAATAAATTTATATAATATGATGGCATTAATGCAATGTAAATTATTTGTGAAATAATTTGTTGCAATGAAATTCGTAGATTAATTACTGTGATTAGTCTTTTATATTGAAAGTAATGAGTTATAATTATTTAATTTTAATTATTTAGCTTTTCAGTTTAAACATAATATGAATTACTTATCTGTAAGCTTATAACCTACTGTATTTACTCAAATCTAAGACATGCCTTAATTTCTGTGTGTTCAATCAAAGGTTTTTTCTTAATAAACAACTTGAGACAAATTTATGTCAACAGAATCAGTATTTATTGCAAGTAAAATAAGTTGTATATCACTGTAACCTGCTTATAATCTCTTCATTTTCTCTGCTAAACTCTTCTGAATCAATACTAACTTTGTTTTATTCATTCCTGAGTTTCAGTTTTGCATTATATACATGTAGTTTTAATTTTTATTTCAATTTTAGTAAACTAAAACTCTGCTAATCAACACTGGATTTGATGTTCACATCTTTCCACTTGCAATTATACTAAGTACTGTTTAAAGTATTGGAAATGCAATATTATTTGAAAGTGCTGCACAACTTTTACCAACATTTTTATCCAAGTGCTTATGCTGTTACTGTAATAGATTAATGAGATTGAGCATGTTTATTATAGTGGATTGATTAAAGTGGACCATTCCATATACGAGGTGGATTGAAAAGTTTCTGTAATGACAGTGGAAACAAAATAAATTATTTCCAAGTTACAATTTATTTTTCAACATAATCTCCTCAAATCTTAACACACTTGATTTAATGTTTCTCTGGCTTTTCGATTCCCTCCCAGAAGTGATTTTCTCCAAGGCCCCAAAATAGCAGTTTACAGACTCAATCATCTCTTCATTGGACCAAAATCTCTTTCCAGCTAGGAATGTTTTGAGTTTTGGGAACAGGTAGAGAAGTCTGAGGGAGCTAAATCCAGTGATATTGGGGATGTGGAAGAATTTCAAACTTAATTTCTGCCAGTTTTTTCTGAACAGCTGTACTTGAATGAGTGGACACATTGTCATGGTGAAACAGCACTTTTTCCTTGATCATACCTAGGCATTTTTTCTGGAATGTTGCTTTGAACTTGTCCAAGTGTTTATTAATATTTGTCCATAGTATATTGCCAGTGACAGTTTTTTCTTTTTCAAGTAGTCAATTAACAAAATTTCTTTGGTGTCCCAAAAAACTGATGCCATCACCTTGCCAACCAAATGAATGTTCTTCACCTTATTTGGAATATGTTTACCCTCTCTAATCTGCTATCTTGATTGAATTTTTGTTTTGGTGTGTAATTGTGAATCCAGGTCTCATCCATTGTCATAAATCATTGCTTGAAATCCATTGGATTTCTTTTAAACAATTCCAAACTCTTGACAGAAAGTCTAACTTGAATGCATTTTTGCTCTTTCTTGAGCAATTGTGACACTCATCTTGCAGACAACTTCTTTTAACCCAATTTGTTATGCAAAATATGAACTACTCATTCATAGGAGATGCCCACGGCTTCCTCAATTTAAAGCACTTTGATTCGGCAATCTTTTAACACCAAGTTGTGGATTTTATCCATAATTTCTGGAGTGGTAGCTGTTTTTGGATGTCCTGAATGTGGTTCATCACTTGTATGTGTGGAGCCACACTTGAATTCTGAAACCCAAAAATTTACCATGGAAAATGAAGGAGATGAATCACCAAGAACATTGTTCAACCTGGATTTGATTTCCATTAGTTTTTTTCTTCAAATGAAAAAATTTGATAACTGCTCCTTCAATTTTCTTCATGTATGAACAGGCATTTTCAATGCTTATAAAAATCTAACTGTTGACCAGATCAATGTGAAACTGGAGTTAATACATATGAAAGATTTGCTAATGCAGTGTGGGAAAAATATTTCCAACTCACTCTCTAGCAGTGATTTCAGAAACTTTTCAGTCTGCCCTTGTATTAATTACATCAAGAAATGTATGGTAAAAGCAAATTTTCAACAAAAGTATGACAAATTTTTAGTGACATGCATTGTTAGCAGATATCATAATGTTGAGTTTGTACAGTACAAGCAGTGTGTGTGTGTGTGTACAGTATTGACAAGATTTAAGATATTTAATAAAACATTAACCAGAATAACTATCCCA